GCCAGTCTCCAGAAAATCAGGGCTGTTGGATGGATCCAAGAATCAATTCAATTTATGCATAAGCATAATTGCTCCAAAACAAGCAACTCCAGCCACAAGTACATTCTCCCAGTCATCTGTCTACAACGGGCTCTAATAGCTTTGTTTGCTGTATTCCTGGTAGACATTTAACTTTGTTAAGGATAGTGCAGATTAGTTCAAACCACTGGCTTAGAGCAGTTATCTAAAGAGTCTAAGAACAGAACAAATGTATATTGGTTCTTTTCCCAAAGTACTTTTCCAGCCTTCTGCAGATTGCAGCTCACAGAGTTCCTGAGTTAAGAGGTGTTTTTTGTCATCTTCTTCCCTGAATGCCTCATTGTTTTGGGACCCTTGTTTCCATAATTCCTGTGGAATTCCAAGTCCTAATAAAGTGTTGTGCAGAGACATATTCTACATCCTAATAATTTTATTTGAAGCCCTCTATTTCTTTTGTGGGAGTGAGAGAGAGAAAGAGAACAGTAATTCCCATTTTCTCATAGCAATCATAACTTTATGATCTTGCCTCCACTTTCAAAGTCCACAGTTCATGTGATTCTTAGGCTCAGTATGAATCATGGAAGCTACCTGTTCCACCATGAAGCATACAAATAATTCAAGATGTTTCTGGTTGGAACTGAGGCATTTTTCAGACTAAGGTTTCTTGCTGCGTAAAGCAAATTAAAGATTAATTTTTTGTACCAGGGATCATTGCTAGTGCATTTTGCACCTCAGGGGATGGAATGCACATCGTGATGCCACGTAGATTATTAACACTTTCGCCTTTTGTACTTACTGCCTAAAATGTATTATTTTGCAAACTATTGATAGTAGTGGCTCATTAACAATCCAGCAGTTAATTATGAACTTACCTAAGTTTTATTGCATAGGCTTGAGGAGTTCTTCCACATGTTAAATGAAGAATAGAAAAATTAATTGATTACAAGTATTATAATAGATGAGCTTCCAGTTCTGTTGATTTGTCTCACTTGTCAGACTGATTCTACCAGAATTTTTCTTTACCTCTCTCCCTTTCCCCACCACATATTTTTATTCCACATGGAAAAAAATGTGGGAATTTTTTTAGCTCTGGAGTTCAGCAGTTCTAGAAGAAGAATATATATGAGACGTGCCAATTCACTTCACTGTTGTTTTGGCAATGTTTTCCAAAATATTATGAATATGTCAACCTCAACATCTCTGCATAGACAGAGAAACCTGTTCTGCCACAGAGCCTTTGCACTGTTGTGTAGCTGAAAAGAAAAACAGGGAAGAATGGCCTTCCACTGTCCATACTTCCACACCGATTTTCAAACTTTGTTATATTGCAAGGGGTTTGTTGCTCCTCTGCCAAGTAGTGGCAGATTTTTAAGGCCTGCAAGTGACATTTCTGTTTGGAGAAAAATCAACAGTGCAGAATTATCATATTCCTTTAAGTGACTTGTTTAACACTTTCGCCTTTTGTACTCATTGCTTAACTTTTGCAAACTATTTGCTAGTAGTGGCAAACTTCAGCCCTTTAACAATGATAAGCTAGCAGAAGATAGCCTTTCCTCTTTCCAGGGTTTGGGTCAGAATACTGAAGATGCTGGGCTAGGTGCTCCTGTGGCTGAAGACAGGGCTGTTAGAATCACAAAAGGCACAATGTAGACTCTTCCTTCTGCTGCACCCCACAGTCTCTCATCACAAAGGAAAACAAAGGCCCTGTGTAGCATACTTCAGGGCCTGAGAGGTGATCCTTGCAACATTTTGTAAGGGTGTGCCACAGCAATGGAATTCTGCTCTAGACAGACAAGTGATATGACTTGCATTTTTGCATGACCTATACGCAATAACTTATCATGAAAGTGACTCCAGGCTTCTTCAAATACATGTGGGCAAAATTCTGTTTCTTGTTCTACAAGACTTTTTTCTTTTAATTGAAGAATTACCCCAAATCTGCACTGGGAGGGAAACAGTGCTGCATTTGCTAGAGTAGGCTTACTTTTACTAAAAGGATTTTCTAAGTAACATACTGAATGGTTTGTCTGACAACATTTTTATTCCATAGGGATCGATTCAGAACAATGGTGAATGTCTTGGGAGATGCCTTTGGTACAGGGGTAGTGGAGAAGCTCTCTAAAAAGGAGCTGGAGCAGATGGATGTCACCTCTGAAGTCAACATAGTCAATCCTTTTGCCTTGGAAACAACAATACTTGATAATGATGGAAGAGAGACCAAGAAATCTTACATCAATGGAGGCTTTGCTATAGATAAGTCTGACACCATATCCTTCACACAGACATCTCAGTTCTAAAGTCAGTAGCTTTCAGGTAAAACAGGAGCACTAAAGTACGTGGCCATATGCAATATCTCAAAAAGGTTAAAGGATAATTGAGAATGAATTACATCTCACTAGCATTTGATTTACTACACAGAGTCTGATTAACCTTCCAGTTCTGCCCCCTTCTCATCATCTCTCTCAACAGTTTGAACTCACCACTCTTAGTACGTGCTGATAGGTTGAAGAAAAAGACAGTTGTACAATACTTTTTTTTTTTTTTAAGAATATACATTTTTGCTGAGGCTATGAAATGCCTCTTTGGAATCAGCATGCTCATAAGTGGGTATCTTAGCTGGGACAGCCAAATGTGTTTTACTCAGGAGTAGCACAACATTTCACACCTTACCACATCACAAAGCACCTATATGAAATACCTTTTAACATCCTTGCCTTCTAAACAGGTCGCACTGTACTTGACACCTCCTGTAACTTGATCATTTGCCAAATTGTTAATTTCTGCAGCTGAGGGGATACTACTTGCGTGATTCAGGAAAAAACAGACCAGAAGGGCCTTGAAATAAGTACATTTTACTGTGAACAGAGTTTAGTTTTCTTTGATTATGAAATAATTAGGCATGGAAGAATTTCTAGTATTTATGTAGCTAAGTTTCCCCATGCCTTTCACGTGAGTGCCAACTGCTGGGATTGGCCTTCAGATGTGAAATAAGTTGCTACAAGTTTGCTCTTCTGGCATTTGAAGAGCTTTTGTAAAGTGATATTTCACCTATTTAGGTCCACTTGGATGACCTCTTAGTACATTTCCATCAGAAAGAGAAAAAAGAACATTTTCTGTTGTTCACCTTTGATTCTAACCAAATAATAGCTCAAAAGAAGCATAGGTCATGAAGATGAAAATGCACAGTGCAAATTCTAAACCTTTCCTTCTTGGAATAAAACCAGATATATTATGAAGATATATAGAAATCGGACTGTTTTTTCTAGAAAGCAGCCCCTCTGACTAAACCTTTTACCCAGACCGGTTGGTTTTTTTGGCTCCTTGGTTTAGTTTGCGAGTTGAACATGCAAGTTTATAGCTGCAACACTACTACAGTGCCAATATGATATATCTTATGAACTGTATCTTATGAACCATTTCTGGACCCAGAAATTCATGTCCTCGGGTGGCTTGCTATAGAATAAGAAGCACCGAGAACCTCCTCATAAGAAATCTCCATTTTCTAAAACATTTTATACAAGATTTCCATGGTGCAAAAGCCACTCTCTCAAGGGAGGAGTCGCTGTAACAATTTTTTCTTTTTTGCCTTGCACATTGAAGTAGTTAGCCATTTTATATATAAAGTAAACTGAAATTCATATGCAGTTCTTTGTTTGTAAATAAGCTTGTGGTAAACATAATATCTCACTCATATGCTAACAAAAAAACCCCTCCAAGTTCCTGCAGTGTTATATACTCAATTCAGTCCTACACTTTTGTATTGAAACAAACCAGAAGCGTGCCAAAGAGAACTGATTATTTAAAATAAAAATAATTTACTGTAGATTTTGATAAATTGCACCTTAAATTAATGAGACATAATACTGTATTTAAATTAAACATCGTAAATTGTATGGAAATGTTAATCTAAGTATTGGTATGTTTATACAAAATAAAGAAAATGTACCGATTAAGTAAATCAATCTTTCACCTTTGCAGAAACAGTATGAGACAGTCTTTATTTGTGCAGCTTTGCATATGGGAGGAAGAAGCCTACCAGTTTCCATGACTAGCCTATAGTCTATGCTTTGTCTTTAACTAGCTTTTTAAGTCACCCTTTTATGATCACCTCATTATGTAGTCACCCTGTTAATGACGTACTGTGAACAGTGTTCCTAATGTGTTAAAAATAAATAATTTCTCTCTTAACTCGTTTTAGCCTACTATCCTCTCCTTACTGTAGAGTATTGAGTTCCTTTAGCTATAGAAAGAAAACCAAACCCTATTGAATTCAGGATTTATGTTATCTTCACTAGTGACTCAGCTGTAACTTTGGCAAGAATTACACTCTTCTACCATTAAAATAACTCCTTAAGAGCAGAGTGCTGAGATTGCAAGAAAGCCCTCTTAACTACATATAATCTGGACTGGGAGTATGCTATTAAATACACACGAAGCAGGGGATTGTTTAGCTATTAATTTTTTATGTGGATCAATTCAGCTAAGCAGGGGTTGACAGTGCTGTTTTGCCATCCACTCACCACCAAGAGACCAAACCATATACTGAAGATACTGTTAAGACCAAGGATGTTCTTTTTTACACAGTATTCCAAGTATGTACCTTCTGTATATGTGGAAACACCGTGCGTGGGCACTGTGTCCTCTTCTCCATAGTCTCCTGATCTGGAAGCTTTGGAGAGTGGTGGACAGTCTCCCATCAGACAGGCACCAGCAGGTGCACCTCCTAGTTGTGGGGGGACACGCAGACATCTGGGCCCCCTCCTGGTTCTGGGAGGCCATCTGAACATCTGGGTCCCCTCAGGGTTGTGAAGGGCACCCCAAAATCTGGATCCCTTTGGGGAGCTGCCCAGACAGTTGTGTCCCCTCCTGGTTGTGGTTGGCACCCCATACATCTGGTTCCTTTGGGGTTTTGGAGTGCCACCTGCCCCCCATCTCTAGGAGCCCAAAGAAGGAAGAGCAGCCAGCGGACACCCCCGCATCCAGCTGCCTTGGTCTCCTCAGCACTGTGGGACTGTCCAGAGGTCCCCAGCTCAGGCCGTGTGTCCGTGTGGGTGTGTCCCCGTGCCTGATACTGAAGCCCCTCGAGTTCCAGGAGCATGCTCTCTGCTCAGCCCCCAATTCCTGACCCATTGGTGACTCACAGCACTCTGTGCAGCTGCATCACTGCCCTCAACTGCGCTGTACAGGGGCACCCCAAGGTGGGGCAACACTTGAAGGGATGGAGGAGGTTAGAGTACACCTAACACTGTCCCCTCCAGCCCAAGGTGGAATGTGGATGAACAGCAAGGGGAGCAAGGGAATTTTTGGGTCCCTAACCTCATGTTCTCCCCCCGAAGGTGGGGTGACTGAAGAACCAGGGGGTGATCAGGGAAGACCCCTACAGCCAGGAGGTCCTGACCCACCATGGCTGGAAGCACAGGACTCGATGATCTCTAAAAAGTCCCCTCCGATCCGATGTGTTCCATGATTCCATAGCTCTGTTACAACCGGCTGCCAGGGCCAGGTGTTACCTGGCAACAAGAAACAGCACAAACACAGGCACAGGCGTGTGGCTGGGGCTCAGAAAGGCAGAGGAGGAGGAGGAGGAGGAGGAGGAGGAAGGGGGCTGCTGGCTGCCCATACTCCTAACTTGCTGGGTTCCCTCTGAGCACAAACGCTCCCATTCACCCAGGACAGGTGCTGTGTTTTGGGGCAGGGCACAAGCCATGGCCTCAGTCAGTCTGTTGCAGCTGCTGGATGATGCCATCGGGACGCCTGAGGTAAACGTCAACTTAGAGGCCCTCCGCAAACTGCTGAAGCTCATGCTGGATCACCTGAGGCTGCTGGGCATGCAAGACGTGCTCCCCTCGGCTGTGGAGGAGACCCAGCCTGCCGGATTACACCCTGGCCTGCAGAAGGAGGGCAGGACTGAGGCCGGAGCCCAGGACATGGGGCAGCAGCCCCAGGAGCCAGGGGAGCAACTGTCCAGGAAGGACCTGCTGCAGGGGACCAAGAGTGGCCCTCCAGTCACCTCCATGGCCACCGACATGGAGAAGACTGAAGCCAAAGAGAGTGGCATCTCTGATGTAGAGGCTCCTCCCAGCCCCCAGAGTGCTCCCCTTAAGATACCCCCATCCTTCTCTGAGGTCTGTGCACTTATACCAAAGTTTTATTGAAGCCCAAGCTCACAGCGGCACTTGGGGTTTCACTGTGGGAACGGGGGTTCTTGGGAGGAAGAGCTGGGGATGAAACACTTCTCTGGGTGCTTTGGATCCTCTTCATGCAGAGTCTGTCTCTGCTGACGCAGGCTGTGCCATTAGCTCCCCAGGGCAGGGGCAGGAGCTCTCGGGGAGCTTTCGCCTGGGGCTCACCGCTGCCACCCATCTCTCCTAGGCCACAGCTCTATCTCAGGATCCCTATGAGGATATGGCTGGGATGAAGGCCACACAGTCCCGCATGGGAGAGGAAATCCAGAGGATCAAGGAGGCACTTGGCCAGGTAAGCTACCACCATCAGCAAGGTGTGGGTCCGAGGCGGCAGCCAGTGCCCTTGCCTCTACGTGCTAGAGGTTCAGCACCCCTGGATCTGGCCCTGCCAGATGAGTGCTTCTCACAGTGCCTGGCTACCAGGCTTGGCCAGACCCTGCGCTGCCCCCCACATGGAGAACATGGCAGGAATGAAGGTCCTGCAGGTACCCAGGGACCCTCTCCTGGGGCTCAACCTCACCACCTCCCTCTCCTAGGCCACAGATCTCTGTGAGGATCTCCGCAAAGAGGTCGATGAAATGAAGGCCACACAGTCCCACATGGAAGAAGACATCCAGATGATCCAGAAAGCTCTTGGCCAGGTGAACTGCTGCCAGTGCAGGAGGGAGAGAGCTGGGTCCCCACACCCTCCCTACCCCTCACCATCTTGCCCTGCCATCCCTGGCCTGTGGCCCTGGGTATTGCCCAGCATGAAGGGCACCAGGAGGGAAGAGAGGAAAGGATCCACCAGGAGCCCCCCAACTCTGCCTGCGGGTCAGGACAGTGGTAGAGGTCACTGCCTGCCTTAGCCAAAAGGATCTTGAGGCTCTTTGAACTAAACAGCCCTGAAAAAGGGGAACATGGGTGCTGGGAATGAGAGAAGGTGAGGATGTACCAGTGCAGGGCAGCCAGAGCTGCCAAGGGTCCCTCTGGCTTGTGCACAAGATCAATTGTGGATGCTCCTGGGTCCTGACTGCTGCCTATCTTCTCGTCCCACTCCAGCAGAACCTCCAGGATCCTGTTGGCCATCCACTGTCCCTCCATGACCAGCCTGCCTCTACCAAGCCCCACATTTCAGACATGGAAACCCTGGGGTCAGGCCCTGATACCCAGACCACCACCCCAGGGATAGAGACAGGGACCCCCAGTGCCCAAAGTGGCACCACCGGGACACAGCCTGGATCCCAAGCAGGTCACCCAGCAGTGGAGAGAATCACCAGAGACCTGTGTGAGCTCCAAGGCCAGGTCACCTCCCTGCAGGGCCTGGCCAGTGACCTGCAGGGCCTGGCCAGTGACCTGCAGGGCGAGAAGGAGAAGGTGAGCCTGTGGCAGTCCCTGAGAGGGCTGCAGGGATGCCAGGGGGAGTTGGCAGGGAGGAGGCAGACAAAGGACCCTCATGCTGGGAGAACATAAGGTCTGCGCTCTGACTCTGCCAACACCACCCTTCCCAGATCAGGCAGCTGGAGGATGCCCTCGGAAAGCAACATGTGGCTCATGGCAGAGACGAGATCTCCCAGCTGGAGTAAGAGGATGGGAGAGGGCTTTGTATCCTGTGGGGCTGCAAGGGAGCCTGGAAGGTGGCCAGGAGTATCCGGTTTGGGCGGTGAGGGACACCCTCCAAGTGGCCGTGGGGAAACTCAGCCTACTTGTGCACTCATCTCACTGGCCAGGCCTGCACTGCAGGAGGTTAAACAGGAGCAGAACGAGCTGAGAGAGGAGCAGAAGGAGCTGAGAGAGGAGCAGAAGATTACCAAGGCCACACTGAAGCAGCTGGTCACAGCCAACCAACTTAAGGAGAAGGTGAGGTCCAGCGGGAGCACTCCCACTGTTGTCCCAAGCAACAGGGTGCTCCTTGTGGGGTTCCTGGCCACATCCCCTGCCTGGCTGGGGCTATTGAGCCACCATGGCATGCAGGTCTGCTGGCTGCATCCATCCTACCTCCCCTTCCTGCAGCTGGATGAGCTGAGGGCAATGGTGGGGAGTGTGGAGCAGAAGCAGGCAAAGGCAGCAAGCCCTGACCAGAGCTCAGACACCAAGGTGCTGAAGAAGCTCCTACACGACTATGAGATACTCCGTGAGCGGGTGGACTCCTTGGTGCCACAGCAGGTGCAGAGGTCACTGCCACAGAAGAGCCAGGTGGGCAAATAGCAGCATGGGGGGCTTGGGAGGGTGTGTCAGGACCCTCGTATCAGGTTGTGTTCACTGTAATGTGGGGCAGCCCCTTGCTGTCCCCCAAATTGATTTGGACAAGTCAGCAGCATGGAAGTCAGCAGGAAACTAAAGCCTTGATACAAATGTTGTGCTGGCACTGAGGGCTTGTGGCACTGGCTGAGTACCCTAAATCTGTCTCTGTGGGGCAGCCAGACACCACTGGCATGGCATCATCTTGTCGTCTTCCTCCCTGCAGCAGGATGAGGAGCTGCTGAAGAGCATCCAGGCCACAGTTGTGCGGGTGGAAGGGGACTGTGAGCAGCTTGGCTATGTCACAGGAAGCCTCCAGGATGACCATCGCCAGCAGCAGAAAGATATTGAGGTGGGTGGCTGAACCCCCTGCAGGGTTGGAGTATCCCCCAGGCACACCCTAGCCTGGGAACCACCAGAGATCTGATCCCCTGCCCACCTGGTCGCAGCACTCTGTGGATTCAAAGGGCCTTTCCCAGAGGTTTTTGGGTAGCAGAGAGCATGGGATGCTTGGCTGGCCAAGAGGCAGCTCTGACCCTGCTGCAGTGTCATGGAATGCTTTCTGTATTGGAAGGCTCTGTTCCGGTCCCTGGAGAGTCTGGAGAAGAAAGCAGACAAGGAGGACCTGCTGCTGCTGGTACAGTCTTGAGGGGCCTGTCACCAACCAAGGAGTCTCAGGCAGGATGACAAATGTCCCTTGTCCTTTGGGCGCTCAGTGGCAAAACTGGCTTTGGTGTGGGGGGAGGGTGTATTTCCAGACTGGCTGCAGATCCCTTTCCAGGTCCCTCTATCTCCTCTCTCTCCCTGGGTCCCTTCAGCTGGTGGGATCGACCCCACGGGGGTGATGGGGTGAGCAGGCCATGCATCCCTGAAAGGGGCACAGTGTCCCTGCAGGAGCAGTTTTACCTCTGTCCCCAGCGGACACTGGCCCTGCCTGTTGAACCCCTGCCCTGTCCCCACCACTGTCCTGCCTTTCCTCCCTGGTAGAAAGAGGATAAAGCCTCCCTGGGCAGCAAAGTCAATTGCACCCAGTTTGAGGTGAGCATGGAGAGTCTGGAGGAGAGGATGCGGGAGATGCTGAAACGAGTGTTGAGCCAGGAGCAGCGCTGGCAGGAGGTCCACCAGCAGCTCCGTGATGCGCTGGACTCCAAGGTACAGGGTGCCTTGTCCCCACTGCACAAAACTGGCTCCTTGGGGATTTTGAAGCCCAAAGCAGCATCCCTCTCAGGATCCCGATCTTGGCTTTTGCCTGACCACCACGTTCCATCCTGGGTCAGCTGTCTGAGGATGTGCATCTGTCCACAGCTGGATCGCCTAGAGCTGGGACCTTTCCAGAAGCAGCTGGAGGAGACCTGGGGAAGGATGATCAAGGAGCTCAAGGACGAGATGTCAGTCACTGCAGATGATGCTGCAGGAATTAAACAGTGAGTGCGATGGGCATGGTGTTCGCTTTGAGGACAGCACTGGCCTCGTTTCCTCCAGCTATCCCAGACAGTGCCCATGTGGTACCCTGGCATCGGACAAGAATAGCCAGCAAACCACAGGGATGGTGACAAAGCATGATGACTCTGCATTCTCCATCCACCAGTAGCATGTTCACCACATCAAAGGAGGTACCAGGAGGGGCATCTGCAAAATGGAGCGCTCCAAACCAAAACTGGGATGTGGGTGCAGAGGTGCAAGGATAGGGGACAGCAGGTCGTTCCTGCAGGCAGGAGCACAGCATATGGCGCCACAGGGCTGGGTCATAACCTGCCCTCCTGGCCAGGCACAGGGCGGGTCATGAGTCCTGACAAGACAGTGACACTGGGGTTCAGATGGCAGCATGGGTACCTGTGTCCTGCCTCTCACATCCCTCCCTACTTGCCCTGGGTAGCTACAAAGTTCAGAGGTGCCAGCATTGGTTGTCTCTTTTTTCTTCTGGGGGGGAATTAGGCTCAACACCCTGCAGTTCCCCATGCAAACACTGTGAATCCTTGCAGCGACATGCCTGGCACCTGCTGCTGCCTGTGAGCTCACCTGTGCCCAGCACCTGCTGCTGCCAGTGTGCAAGCAGCACTGCAGCTTTGCCAGGAGCTCACCAAACTCCTTCCCCCCTTAGGCAGCTGCTGGTCCCTTACAAGTGCCTGTCCTGCGACCGGGGCCTCAACATGCAGGTGCCTGGCCCGTGAGTAGCACCCAGCACTGGTGTATTGGGGGGCTGCAGGGGTGGGACGGGGGGGGCGGGTGCCGACAGTGCCCAGTGTCAGGCATGGGGGTTAGGGTGTCTGCCTTGGGATTTGACTCTGCTGAGCCCCCTTCACAGCCCTGTCGTGTTAGCCAGGGAATGGGAACCCCTCCGGAAACCTCTCCCTGAGAGCAGCAGGCAGGGGGATGCTGTGCGCTACAAGCCTATGGGTTTTGGGGTGCTGTCCCAAGCTGGGATGGCTCATTTGTCCCCATCACCCACCCATGGCTCTTGTCTTCCCCAGGCACATTGACACACTCCCGTTCTATCCGCCAATGCCCATCAGCCATGCTGCACACCCCACTACCATCATCACAGAGGAGCAAGCACAACAGCATGGTTACAGGTAGGGCACATGGGGACCCATCCCTGAGCCCTGGGGTGCAGGATAGTCATACCCTGGTGGAGGTAGAGGGAGTCAGGGGGCCTGGGTGGAGCAGGGAAGCAAACGGGGCCACAGAGGGCCAGCTGTCCTTGCCCCAGGTCTCGAGGGTTTTAGAGCTCCTGCTGCACTGCCTCATCCAGTCCTGGTCTCAGTGGCACTAGTGCCACATGTCATCAGTTGTATCTGATCTCAGCCTGACCTCAGGCTTGGTGGGGGGTTGATTCAGCACAGTGGGACAGGCATGGGTCTCCTGCAGCAGTTGTAGGGGAGTCGGAAGGGACATGCCCCACTGGGGCACTGTGGGATGAAGCTCAGGGTACCACAGAGCTGGGCACTGATGATTCCTGTACCCTGGCCCCCAGGAAGCTGCCCAATGGCAGGTCCCACCTCAAGATGCAGAGTGACAGAGGCCAGTACACATCCAATGCACAGCTCAAGGATGCCCTGTGGCTCTCCAAAAAGGTAGGGATGGCAAAGGGAAGGACACGTCAGGGAGCAGTGAGGCTGGGAAGGAGATGCTGAGCATCTGTGGGGATTCGTGCCTCAGTTTCCTCAGGGAAAGCTGCATGGGGAAGGTTACTTGGGGATGCTGAATTGGGCTCAACATTGCAGCCAGCCACTCTCTCCTTCCCAGCCTGGTGTGACCAAGCTGCTGGGCACAGATGGCTGCATCAATCACAGACAGGAGCAGAGGCCTAAAGTGACAGTGAGGGCACAGGACAAGCTGGGTATGGCCCTGTAGGGCACTGGGGAAGGGGGGAGTGAGTTCCAGCTGTTTGCCAGCAGTGGGTGAGCAGGGCTCTGTGTGCATGGCTGAGTAGGTGGAACTGTGGTCTGAGGGGGGCTGAGGAGGGGCGAACACAGGATAGATGGGGAGGACTGGTGGATGCGGGTGTTTGAGCTGGAGACCAGTGTGGGGATGGCCCTGGCCAGTGTGGGACAACAGCCTGTCTTCTGGAGAGCAGGGGCCAGCACTCTGTCCCGCAGGGTCTCTGGCCAGGCAGGTGCCCCTGCTGCCTGTCCTGTCCTGGGCTGGCAGAGCTGCCCCCAGCCAGGGCTGCCCCTGGGCTGCAGGGGGGCTCATCCCTGTCCCTACCACCCTACTAGAGCACCGGCCAGCCTCTGACCCCCGCCACTGACCCCGGGCACCATGGCATTTGCTGCAAATCCAGGTCCCCCAGATGAAGCACCTGGACAGCCAGCAACAGGGCTGGGACAGCTGCCCAAAGAAAAGGGTTTTCTTTCAAAGTTAATAAAAAATTTAACCAATTGTTTTTTTGAATTTTCTAAGCAAGACTGATTTCAAAACTACCCTCTCACCTCCTGCCTCAGAACCACCACCGCAAAGCTGGCCAGGTACCTCAGGGAATGGCAAAGGTTCAGTAGTGACAGGACCAGGGGAGCATGGGGGGCACCCCCCAGGCTGGGTGGTGTGAGAGAACTGGGAGTGTACCCCTAGAATGAAGGCAGGGGAAGGAGTGGGGCCAGGGGATGTCCCCGAGGCAGGTGGAGGGTCTGGGCCTGCCCCCCAACCCATGGGATGTGGGGGACAAGAGGTGGAGTCCTTGGGGTGCTGGTTGCCCCACAAGTGGGTGCTGGTGCAGCAGGCTCAGGGTGCCCCTGCAGCGGAACTGCTCTTTGGCAGGGCTGGGGGTGGGTGGCAGCCCGAGCAGCGCTGCTCCCTCTCCCACCCCGGACCCAGGGGGGCTTTGACATTATCCTCAAGCCCTGGGAACATAGTGAACAGGTGGGACCCCAGCAGGGGGTGCTCAGAGCCCCGGGATTCCTGTGGAAGGTGCACCACTGTCCTCACCGTCCCTGCCATTTGCTCTGTCCCTCGTGTCCCCTCTGTCCCCCCAGGTAACCGTGACTGTGCAGCAGGTACAGCAGTTCCTACACCACTCATCCCTCACAGGTCCTCAAGGTGCCCAGTGACATCATTCTCATCTGTGTCATATTCCCTGGCTCTGTGGGGACCCCTCAACCCCACCTTGGAGTGCTTCCCCCAGGTGGGGACCTTCAGGAGGATGGGGACCATCAGGGTGGGGACATCCAGGGTGATTGATCTGTGGGGACAGGGATGTCAGGGGTGTTGGGGTCCTTGGGTGTTGGAATATTGGGGACAACCATGGGAGTTTGGGGACAGCTATGTGGTCAAAGACCTCTAGTGCTGGTTTGGGAGTTTGGGAAACACTAGGTCATTAGGGGACATGCACGGTTGCGGGTTTGGGACTCTGTCTGTCCCACCAAGTCACAGTGCTCAGCACCCAGCAGGCTCAGCTACAGGCACCCAAGGGGGACAGAGGCAATGCCTCTCTCCTCACAACCCTACATACTGGTGACCACCCACTGCCTGGTGAGAATGGGTGGGGTGGATGGGTGGGGAGTCCCCTGGAACCATAGGGTGTCCTTGCAAGGGAGGACATGGTGCTGGGCAGGGGTCCCTGGGCCATATCCAGGCAGTCATCATTGCTGCCACTGTCCACCCCAACACCATCAGGACAGCGTGCTGGGAAGTCAGGCTGAGGAGGGGCGGGACTAGGGGTGCTGGGAGGTTGAAGGTGCTGGAGGAGGATGGGGACATCTTACCCCATGCAGGGGATCCCTGCAGGGGATCAGGATGCTGTGGGATGAGGATACCTTGGAATTTGAAATGACTGAGAGCCCAGGGCTGTATGCCTGCTGCCACATGCTGGAGGATAAGTCCAAGACTGGCTGGCAGGTTCAGATCTGCTTCTGGAAGACAGTGGATACTTACTCCAGAAACTTTACCTCATCACTGCTGGGACATTTGTGGCAGCAGCATTTCCAGCACCATTCTGGTTCTTTCTCTGGTTTCTCCTATATTGGATGCAGTTGGTGATGCCTTAAAGTTTTTTGATTTTTTGATTTTTTAATTTTTATAGATTTTTAGAAGTAGTTATGTAGTGGATGTAGATTTTAATGTATCGGTATTTCTAGTAGAAGTAACTACAGCAGCATATAACTCAGGTATCGTTTTCACACTGAGGTCTCTACCAGCATAATTAACATGCATTCTTTTACTGTCTCACGGTATTACATCTCTTACCAATATTTTCCAGTAAAAGTAACGGCAGTAACTTAACGGTTGCACATACCAAACCCCATCCCATATCAATCCCTCAAAATTCTGTTAGCTATTTAGTCTCATTATCAAGGTAGAATTGTAGAAAAACACCTTAAGGCCTGCACCAGGAGATGTAAACATAGGCATAACGACCTTCAAGCCCGGAACTTTGGAGGGCCTCCAAGGACTCAGCTTGCGGAGAGGAGGATGAAGATTATGACAGAAGGGTCCCAAACTCCCCCAGACTCAATTCCCGAGGGGGTGTGCCGAGTGGGGGGGGGAGTGGGGTGGAACTGGGGGGTGGGTGAGCAGGGATTGGTTGGACATCATTATAAAATTATAGAACCTGTATCCAAGCGCGCGCGTGGTGGTTTATATTCCTGGGGCCTGGGGGCTCATTAAAGCTTCTGCTCTTCTTATCTTATCTCCAACCCAAATTGGCCTGGAGTCTTTTTTCCTCCTCGGTCTTTTACGCAATTGTCCTAGTTAGAACAGCTGGGACCAATTCATCACTGGATGGGTGTAGCCCAGGACTGTGTATTCTATGGCCTTCCATGCCATTTCCCAGAAACTGTTGTCAGTAGAGGCCTGCGAGGTAGGAAGATGTTCCTGTCCTCATACCCTTTTATGGAATTCCCCGCTCTGAGGGAAGGACTGAGCATTCCTACCTGAACGGGAGAATATATAAACTTGGAGTTTCGGAACCTTTTTACCACTCGTGGGATCCAGAGGAAGACTGCAGCTCACCGCTCTCAACCAGACTGCAGCTCACCGCTCTCAACTGGACTGCAATCACCACTTTTGATCAGACTGCAACAGCTCTCCCACCAGCAGGTTTTTTCCCCTCTCCCTTTACTTTGGACTCAGGGGGGGGACAAGAAACACCACTTTGTTCATGCCCCAGGGTGCTGGGTTATACATTTGGGTTTTGTGGGCTAAAACCAAATTGCTTGTCTGTATAATCGTACTTATTGTATTATTTTATTAAATTGTTATTCTGATTTATAATCTCTCTTTTGAGTTGAGTTCATTTCCCATGCTGGTTAACTTTTAAACCAGCACAGCAATATTGGCTTTGCAGCAGTGTTATTTTTCCCCAATTTCATTTGAACCTATTGCCTCCAGAACTTCTCTGAAAACTTCATATCTTTTTCTGAATTTGCATCAGCCAAAATCTTAGTCATCAAAACCTCCTCTCTACACTTAACAGAAGTCCTTCTTTCCATGGTTAAGCCCTGAGAAGCCAGAGCTCAACCGTGCTCTGCACGAGGTGACCTCTCCATGTAGTTCTGGCTGCAGGGCACCTCCAGGAGGGAGGACAGACTTGCCAGCATCCATCCCCTGGCTCCATCCTGTAGGAAGACTACTGCAGCTTCTGTAAGCAAAAGGACATGGGGCCAGGCTCCCCAGCCTTCTCAGGGCCCCTGACAGGATCATCCTGGCTTCTCCAGGTTCCCAGGAGGGTCGCATTGGAGGATGGGAGGCCAGCTGGAAATCTGTGGGCAGAGAGCTACTGGGGTGAGGAGCCACAGCAGCAGTTGGAGAGGAGATGTGAGAGCAGGATAAGGCACGGTGCTGTGGCCCCATGGGGTCCATGATTTCCACTCTCGAACCAGCAGGAGTGAGCTGGAGCATCTCCGAGTGGTCTGAGAACCAAAGTGCTCCTTCCTGACCTCTTCTCTTGGGACATTGCATTTACAGTGGGAATGCAGTGTGAATCTGGTCTCTACAGTGGGCTTGAACATCCTTTAATCTGTTAATGTCTTCCTGCTTCTTGGCACCATGATTTTATGGCAACATCAACCACTGCCTGTCAAGCATAGGTGTCAGGATAAAGAAGTTCATTCTTTTCCTGGACTGACTGTTGAGGACAGAGATACGACCATCGTGAGCCTAGCCCTGATGCAGAAAACATGTACAGTGGGAGCAGAGGGTTATGGAGCTGGGGATGGGGCCACTGCAACATAGGCAGGTCATCCATCCCTGACCTGCAATCCTGCATGTCATCTGAGTTCCTTGGGGGTCCCTGATGTTCCTGGGTCCCCAGCCAGACCCTAGAGGTCCTTGTGCCTATGTATGTCCCCATCCACCCTGTCCTGTAATTGTCCTTAACCCACCCATAGTTGTCTCAATCCCCCCCAGATGTCTTTATCCTCACAGATCAACCCCCCTGGGTATCCCCACTCCAGATAGTTCCCATACCCTTGGCAGTCCCTACCCCTCTGAAGGTCCCCACCTGGGGGCAGCACCACAGGGTGTGGCTGAGGGACCGCAGGGGACCAGGGAATATGACACACATGAGAATGACGTCACTGGGCACCTTGAGGACCTGTGAGGAATGAGTGGTGTAGGAACTGCTGTACCTGCTGCACAGTCACGGTTACCTGGGGGGACAGAGGGGAGGGACATAGGGATAGAGCAGATGGCAGGGACGGTGAGGACAGCAGTGTCACCACTGCACCTTCCATGGGAATCCCGGGGGCTCTGAGTACCCTCTACTGGGGTCCCACCTGTTCACTATGTTCCCAGGGCTTGAGGATAATGTCAAAGCCCCCCTGGGTTCGGGGTGGGAGAGGGAGCAGCGCTGCTTGGGCTGCCACCCACCCCCAGCCCTGCCAAAGAGCAGTTCCGCTGCAGGGGCACCCTGAGCCTGCTGCACCAGCACCCACTTGTGGGGCAACCAGCACCCCAAGGACTCCACCTCTTGTCCCCCACATCCCATGGGTTGGGGGGCAGGCCCAGACCCTCCACCTGCCTCGGGGACATCCCCTGGCCCCACTCCTTCCCCTGCCTTCATTCTAGGGGTACACTCCCAGTTCTCTCACACCACCCAGCCTGGGGGGTGCCCCCCATGCTCCCCTGGTCCTGCCACCACTGAACCTTCGCCCTTCCCCATGGCACCCTTCCATGCTGCTAACTTGTCCAAGTCAATTTGGGGGACAGCAATGGTTTATGGCCCATTCTAATGACATGACTGCTGTTTGGCCCTGCTTCTCATGACCGTGTAGTGGTGCCAGTTGTGCTTCATTGGAAAGGAGGAAATTGGCATGATAAAAAACATTACCACACTTCCACAGATGTGCTTCTTATCAGCCTTCTACCTCACCTGGCTTGAAAACACTTTAAGACATCAATCCCAGGTTATGAGGGACACAATAAATCGCCAAGCTTAACAAGATTCTTTATTCAGTCTATCACAATTTCTCCTTTTTTCAGTTTTCTGGGGTTTGGTGTGTTTTCATGTGGAAGATTTGGTGTGCTCCTTCACCACATCTCATGCTGCCATGGGGGAAATTCGGGTCTAAAGCGTGTCTGAGAAATTATTTTACAGAATGAAAGGCAAAAACCCCTAAAACCCCACAATTCAAATTTCTTTTGCTCAGCCCAGCTACCAGCTTCATTCATGCTGCCTAAGCCCTATAATGCACTATATCCACTCATCCCCTATATCCAGCTGTTAAAAAAGGCTCTTTTTAGCTTAAATAAACTATCAGATGCGGCTTTTTGGAGGGGATTTTGGACAATGAGGGAACCTGGGGGGGAGAAACATTCTGCTAGGCTTCATTTTGGGGAGAAAAACCTCTTTTCTGAGCAGACGAAGTTATGAAATGGAAAAAATGAAACAAAACAATGACATTTTATTACAATAAATGAAATAAGAGGGGGAAAGGCCAGTGGAGGGGGAAACTGGGCAAACTGGTGATGCTTGGACAGATTTATGCCCCTCCCCCCAAGCAGGGTCTGGGTTAATTCTGGGAGGGTTTAGGGATACTTTTGGAGCTGTTTCCTGCCCATCTCCACTTCTTATTTTCACTTAGGAAGTGACAGTTTTCTCAAAAACAAAGGGGATTTGTTTAACAGCACTTTCTCCTGGAGGCAGCAGTGCCCAGCTTTTCTTAACCAGTTCATCCCTAAGTTGGGAATTTCTTCCCTGTGAGCACCGCTTCAAGGTGGAAAATCACCATTTCTCAGTATGCTGGCTGCTCCTTTGGGAAAAAGGCCCAAAATGGAGCAAACCTCCCCAAAAGCAGAGGATAAAAACCCTGACACCTCCCTGTGTCCTCTGGAGGTGGTGTCCTCTGGGTATTATGAGCTGCTGATTTTAGCGCCTTTTGAGTCCTGTTTTTATAAGCACCTGCCAAAACCTGCCAATTACTAACCTGAATAGTTGTAAACCCATACCCATAATTCTGCCTTTTTTCAGTTAAAATGGACCCCAGTGAGGAGCAGGGGAGGTTTCATGTCCCCACCCTCATGGAGGACCTGCGGTCTCACTCAGGTTTGCTCCTCAGTGCCTGCCACACTTCCCTCAGGTGCACCGTTCCAACTCCAGTCTGAATCCTGAGGGCGTTAGTGGGAGAGGGGCAGCATAGGGAGAAGCAGAAGGCAATGGATAAAAAAACCCCAAGAATGCTTGTTCTCAACCCCAAACTGTGGCAATGGATTTGCCATATGTAGGATGGAAGAAGTCCTGTCAGAGATGGACTAGTGAAGAAAAAGAAGAAAACAGTTCAAATGCCATAGAAACAGAAGTTTTTAATGTGGTTTAAACAGGTTTTAAAATGGCTTTTGCTTTTTCTGCAAAGTCATTGCTCCGTGTTCCCGACATCCCCTGTGAGGGACTTGTCTCCCATACAGGAGTGTCCTGGGAAGATGTCCTGAGGTGTTTCTCATTGGTCCTTGTTAACCCCTTCCTACTGGCTGTTAACCTTTTACCTGATTGGTTTTTTCTGTGCCCCGAACTTGTAATTGGTTCCCCTTTGACCCTCCTAAAAGCCTTATAAACCCCTACCCCACAATAAACTTCCTCTTTCGTCCATCCCTCCCTGGTGGTCTCTGTGGCTCCTTATGGAGTTCCCGGGCCACGTGGCGGGGGGCAGGGGGGAAGAGCAGTCACCTCCAGGTGATGGGCTGGCACCCAGGGCCTGAAGGTCTCCCCCTCCCACTAATCCGTCGTACCAAACCTCCTGAAATACATCCACCTCCCAGCCTGGCCTCCAGCTTTGTGGAAAAAAAAAACCTTCAGCTACTCCCCAAAGTCTCTTTCTGTGGGCTGCTACGAGGTGTCTCTGTCACTGGGGAGGGCTTCAGGGGCTGCAGTGGCGGTGCTGTGGGAGGGCTGTGAGGTGCATCTGCTGGCTCTGCTCGAGGAGGGGGTGCTGTGCACCCTCCCTGCCCAAGGATCTGCCATTGGAACTGCTGTTGGGATGCTGGTGAGCTGCCTTTGGGTGAAAAGAGACTGATTCTGACCACCCTCTCCCCCCCTCCCACGCTGGAGAGCCATCTCTGGACCTGCTGAGCTATGCAGAAGGGCAGATTTTTTTGTTGTTTATGTTTTGTTATTTTTTACGTACTTTTAAATTAAACATCCATTAAGCTATTCACATGAAAATTGGATAAAATGGAGTGTTGGAAACTCATCTTTTGGAGCAGGATGCTGCAAAGAAGCACTTTGATTTACACATTGCTGGGCCTTGTCTTTTAAGGAAGACAGCACCCAGGACCAACCTCACCATCAACCAAATAGGGAAACAACTAATTATACAACTGACCAGGACTGTAATTTGGGTTTAGCGGTGACCTGTGGGTTTGTCAAGGCAGTTATTTAAAATTAGGGCCCCGAAGATAAAAGCAGCTGCCTTCCCTGCTGCCTTTCCTTGTGGTTTCTCCTCTTCCTCAGTCTGATGTCAAGAATGTCTGTGGATGGGGAGGCAAGTCTGGCAGCGAAGGTGGAGCGACTGAGGCTGTAAGAGGCAGAGACCTGCCCAGTCCTGCCTGTGCTTGCTGATAACAGGTCTCTATCACATGGTTTAACCCTAGTAACAACTTTCTGCTGCCTCAAGATACAAGTTTGTTTATTTTTTCCCCTTCTATTCAACTTGTTGGCAGTGCAATGGGAGATAAAATCCTGTTTGTGGCCTCTCTCCCTGCTCACATTGTGGCAGTGGCAAAACCATGAACCGTAGTGATCCCAGGAGGCACAAGAGATGGTTTTAGCACATTTCCCTTAAATTCTTTGCAAATCCTAAGCAGAAATGTTTCCACTTGCAAATTCTTATTACGAGGCATCCAGACGCAAAGCCTCAAAGTGAGCTTTCGAAAAATTTTTAGGCATGTTCTCCTTGTTTTTCTGTGCTGTGGGAAATAAAAATATCTCTGTTCTCCCACTGAGGAGCAAGAGAGTGAAATGTGATTAATGTTGTTAAATTAGGTGTTATAAGGAAAATGAAATGGGTCGGGGGGGAGTTGGGGCTGTTTATTGAGTGCAGGGTTTGCTGGGGTGGTGGAAGTTCATGGTCGGTTTTTGGGGGATTCAGGAGCAGAAGGTGAGCAGAGCTGGCCCCTCACCCAGCCAGAGCAGTGGCCGGAGTCGCTCACCGGCAAAAGTGGCTGGGGGAAAGGCAAAGATTTCGGTCTGGCTGTCAGCATCGCGGAAAGCCACCCGCCCGCCGGCGTAATCCAGAGCCACCTCGATGCGTCGGAGCGTGTAGCTGTGGGGCAGACATGTGGGGCTGGGCCAGGTGAGAGCCTGCAGCTGCCCCAACCACTGCCCCACAGCCCAAACTCCGCGTTCAGGGCTGAGACCAAAGCAGCCCTTACGAGACACGAATTCCCGAGCCACCCCCAGTGCCCAGTCGGGACCAGGACGAACCTCCACGGCCCAGCAGTGCCGGCCCCCCACGAAGCCCTGCCGACCCAAAACACAGCGGAGAGACTCAAAACGCTCCTTTCCTGAGGGAAGAGGAGCTGGGGGTGATTCCCGGCGGCCTGCAGTCCGGCCATCTGCTGACACCAGGATTTGGGGGTGAGCTGTGGCTGGATCCAGGGTCACAGTTGCTGGACGGGAGAGAGGTGTTAGTGGGGCTATATGCATCAGGGTTATCAGCTTCAAAAATCACACCAGAGCATCAGCTCCAGGTTCTGCAGCTGAGCCCCAGTTCTGAATGCTGAATCTGAGCATCAGCCTTGAAGCTGACTCACCTCTCTGGTATCCCCCTGAGTCTTCCTCCAGTGAACAGCCCAAGATGCCTGGAAATAGAAGATGATCCCAGAGATTTTTACCTCTGGATCTGGCTCTGGGGCTGCCCCACATCCACCCATTCCCTGCAGCAAGGAGAAGGCAAGACCACCAGAGCTGGGAGATATAACCCCCTTCATCTGGGGCATCACCTGCCTCCACACATAATTAATGTCCTAATTTAGGTGCCAATTAACCACCAACAGCCCTCTGTATCTCCCACCGGCAGTTTCCTGTGCCTTAAGGCTGCTATAAAAGAATAAATCTCTGATTTTCTTTTAATTAAAGGAGGATTTAAAGTGATGCTTTCACTGTCCAGCCGAATTTGGCAACCCTGGGGTTCTCTTTCCTCCCAGTCCCACCGTAGGTTCCCATTTCTACTTCATAAATCCCCTTTTTAGTCAATTTTTCCTCTATAAGCACCTTTAAACTGTGTCACTGCCTCTGCCAGCACGTTGGTTTTCCGGGTAACATCCTCAAGCTCTGCTTCCAGCTCTGGCATCGACGGCAGCAACGGCTGCACCTTCCTCTCTGTGCACCTCAAGGGGGGAAAATTGGGGTGTTTAATGCCAAGAAATCCCAAAATTTCCTTTCCCCACCACTGGAAAACCACAGGGACATCTTTATTTCCCTGGGCAAGGGTCCAGCTCCTGCAAGATGTGATGGCAGATTTCCCTCATCTTCACCAAGTTCTGGATTAACCACCAACCCCCTCCAGCTCAAAAGCAAAAATGTCAGAGGAAAAGAATGCAGGGTGAGGAGGAGATCCCAAAAGTGGAGGATTTTGGCCCAAAACTGGTGTTCCTGGTGATGCTTTTTGGCCCCGGTACCTGCTCAGGGTGGTTTGGGCATCCTGGAGAGGAAGGGAGAGAGATGCTTAGGGCTGTTTTCCTGGGAATAAAAGCCAAGGGGTGGGGGCGAGCAGAGGGATTTGTGGGGACAGTTTTGGCTCACCCGTAGCAGATCAACATCCGGTTGCTGGCACTTGGCCTGGAGCTCAGCACGGTGTTGCCGGATCCAGGTTATCTTGGCAGCTTCACCATGTTGCTGTTCCTCCAGCCTCCAGCACAGGCGACGGAACCGGGCAAGGAAACGTGATTCCTGTTCACTCAAAACCCGCCGGAGCTCTTCCAGCATCGCCAGCAGCTTCTGCTTCTCAGCACTGACTCGAGTCTAGGGGATGAAGGAGAAGAAGGATGCTGCTGGAGTGGGGAATTAAGCACTTTGGCCCCCACAGTGCACCTTAACTGCAGCAGCACTCACCAGCATCTCCTGTCTTGTCTCCTTTGCTGCCTCGCTGAGACTGGCACATCGCTCGTACTCCTCTTGCAGGCTTTTTAGGGAACCTTCAAACTGCTTCTGCAACCGGGAAAAAGGGGTTTGGGCTCCTGGAAGAGGGGGATAAGGCGGGGCTGGGACCCCGAAAGCACCTGCAATATGGCCAAAGCAGGTGGCCCATTCCTCATCCTCCTCTCCAGCTGCACTGAAGCAGATATGTTCATGCATATCCATGTTATAACTAATTTTATAGGTATGCTCTACATATAGTCTCACCTCATCTGTAAAGGTATGTAAATATATACTGATAAATGGGCATTATAGTCCTTCCAGCCAGGCTGGGAAATCCTACCTTTCCAAGTTCTCCTGTAAAAAAGTTGCCAACACCCTTCAGTTCCCATTCCCCCTTTCCCTCCTCCTTGCACACCCAACCAAGTCCAAACCCCCCTTGGGGACCCCCATTTCTCCTCCACACCCGGAAGCAGAACAGGAATCCTCCATAGCAAAGGCACTGGCTGACAGCAGCAGCTTGAATTCACCAATATTTAGTTTTGGTCCCAAAACTGCCACACTCCTGCCCTGTTTCATACTTAACCCTCAGCAAATTGCAGCATTGCAGCTCAATTTTGACTTTTGGATGCTCATAGTATTTTTCTCCCGGAAAGATGGGGAAAAGCTTTGCCCCATCTCAAAATACATATTCTGGGGGAAGAGTTTTAAGGGAAACTGGGGTTTTAGCGTCTCTCAGGCAGGGAGAGAGTGTCTGAGACGGAGGTTCGCTCACCCTGTACCAGCGAGCGGCCTCTTCGAGGGGCACAGCGGGCTCAGCGCGACGCTCAGCGCAGGCAGCGCAGACGAGGATTCCATCCCGGTGACTAAAAAGAGTGAGGGGCTGTTGGTGCCTCCGGCAAAGCTCCTGCGCCGCCGGCATGTCCAGCTCCTGGATGGCAGCCACCACGTTGGCCAGCTGCCGGTTGGGACGGAAGCCGCCGTGCGGGAAAGGGACCCGGCACTGCGGACAGGAACCACCGCCGGCGGCATCCACCGAGCAACAATCGAGACAACGGCGGCAAAAATTGTGGCCGCAGCTGAGGATCATGACAGGGTCGTGGAAGAAGTCCAGGCAGACAGCGCAGGTGGTTTCCTCCTGGAGGTATCTTATGGCACTTCCCGCAGCCATGGTTGTTTTTAAAGGGCACTCGGAGAAGTGCGCACAAAAAGGGGCCTGGCCAGGGTTTTCCTGGAAGTGGCGACGGGGCGGGACCCTGGTGTTGGCATCCGGGACCTGCCAGGCGAAAGCGACGTAGGGCTGACCCGATTTTCCCACTGCCCCAGTGATGAAACCGCCTCCACGGACGAGGCCAGCAAGGATTTAAGAGGACAGAAGCGAACACAGGAGGCGACAGCGGGGGCGGAGTGGGAGGGCATTAGGAGGGATGAGTTATTTACAAGGCGAATTTTTGCCACTCCGGCTGCAACGGGGGAAGCAAAGTGCGGCCAGAGGGTGGCTGTAGGAAACAGGGATTGAAACAGGAATGTGGCAAGTGAGCAGAGGTCCATGGAGCTCATGTGGATATCAGCTCGGGAACGAGGGGCGGGGGCGGTGTTAGGGTGAAATAAAAACCCAACCTTGTCCGTCAGCACCCAAATTGGATGGCAAAAATAAGAAACAAAGGGGGGGAAAGAAAAGAACTAGTATATTCAGGATCTGTGGGGGGAGGTGGTGTTAGAGCAGAAATTCCAGGAGGGAGTAATGTTAATGAAGTTTTGCAATAAAATTAATCGGAAACTGAACCAAAGGACGGTCTTGGAGCTGAAAGTTTCCTTTCTATAGAACAATAAAAGTATGTTAAATATATATAATCTAGCATATGATATATAAATATAATTTTTATATATTTTAACTATCATAAAATGTTAACTGTTTCCATATATTTTATATAATATATAAAAATATAATTACATATATGTTTAACTGTAATTGCAAATTTTAGTATAGAATTATAAAAATAACAAAACCCACGTAAAAATAATTTCAAAAATACTAATCAGGAATTATAATAGTTATGAATAAGGCTGATAAAACACACTTTGAGGTGCAATGGGGCAGAGCACGACACAACCGGACAGGACAAAACGTGAGGAACTGAGACCAAATAAATCCAAAGTTTGATATCTCGGGGCAGAAAGGAAGGGAAAGATCCCCTAAAATCCTTTTTTTTTTTTTTAAAGTATTTTTTTTCTAGGAAACGCCTGAAAAATTAGTTAACGGCAGACCAACTTCATGCTTAATTAATTCTTAATTATTTCAGGCACTTACTGTCCTTTTATTAAGAGGAATCTCAGCCTACACAAGGCTTCTACAGCAGGAGGAGAAGCCAGGGCTGTGCTAGATATAAATATTTTCCTCAGAAATTGTTATTTTTGTACATTTTTGCTATCTCTATGCATGCACATAAAAGCAAACCGCTGTTTCTACCTTACTTAAGGTTTCTTGGGGGGTGCGGGGAAGGGGCTAATAAAAGAGCTCTTGGAGCCGCAGCGCCTCGGTGCCCACTTGCACTCCAACCACTTCACTTCCTGGGGCAATTTGTAGCGTTGTAGCTGGGTTTGTTTTTTTCTTGGTGGATGGAAGCCCAGCCCACCGATGCCGCAGGAAAGCCACCCTGGAGCAGGCTCGCAGCCGGTGGTGGGGGGGCTGCACTGAGGTGTGGCTGCTCCCGCGAGTCTCTGAAAGCCGCACCGGGGAGTGACTTGTCGCCTCGTGTCACTGAAAGACCTGCATCGCGGGACGGCCGCTGTCAGGTGTCGCCGGAAGGGCTGCACAGAGAGGAGGGCGAAGTGTGAATAGAATGTATAGAACAGAATAAAATAAACATAATTAAAGAGCCGCAGCAGGGGGTGGCCATTGCCCCGCATCTAAAAGCCGCACCGTGGGGCGGGCGAGGCGCGGCCGGGATCGGTCCTCCCCGTCCCACAACACCCCCTGCGCGACAAGCGGTGACTCCCCGCGGCACCGCGCCGGAGCTGAGCGGCGACAGCCAAAGCCGGGAAAGCGGCTGCCAGCGACGGGAGGAGCAGGGCATGGTGTTCTCAGTCAAGTCCCCCGAGCACTTAAACACCGAGATAGGTCCGCCACTCGGCACCCAAGGACTCGGACCTATGTATCCCGCTGCCTCTCACTAGCCTGCTGCTCTCTCCCTAGCCTGCAGAAGCAATATCGTGGCTAGGCTTCGCGAACGAAGATTTGGGAAGGCTCTATCCACATTTGCTATAGGCACGCTGGTGGCTTATGAGGCCAATACGTGACAGACAAATCCGATTGCAAAAGGCACAGCAGAAAGACTCCTTAGATGGTGTATTCTGCAATACACGGTTCTTTCTGCGTTGCCTTTTTTCCTCGAGGGTGATCCTGCGTGTGTTCTCAAAGGAGACAGCTGCGTTATAGATGGCGTGTCTCCAGGCCTCCCGATTGGAGGCCAGAGTAGACCAGTTATGGTGATCAATATAGCCAAGGCAGAAGCAATAAATGCCGTAATATCTATCCTATGCACACGCAAAAAAATTCTGGAGGTTTTTTTCCTATTTTTTTACTTCATGACGTTCATGTTGAGCAGCAGCGCAAGACCGCGCACTAGTTAAATCAGCAGAGTAACTGCTGGCAGTAAATTTGGGGCAGAACAGATCTTGTCCTGTGACAAGATCTGAGCTGGGAGGGAAGCTCGACAGAAAGCCATTTGTGTCCTGGGGAACACGGGCAGCACCCCGGGCTCTGGGCTGTGGCAGCATCTTGCAGAGTCCAGCTACTGTGTCTGTGTCCTGCATCTCCCGGTGGAGACCCCCTGTCAGCTGCCAGCTGGCTCCTGGCCTCACTGGGCCTCTCCAGCCTCATCCTGCTTCTCCTCTTCATCCCACCACATGCTTTTTCTGTCTGCCAAGAGCTGTGGGAGAGGAGCCATGCCAGGCTCGAGGGTTGCCTTCACTGCAGGGAGACTCATGCAGGCACCCATGCCTGGGAGGAGGGAAGGAGGAAGCGGTGAGTGGGTGCTGAGCCTGCTGCTGCCTTCCCTTGGGCAACCTCCTCTTCCTTCTGGCTTCCCCCCAGATAACTGAATTATCCCAAACTACCACTAAATTCCTTCCAAAATAATTCTGAGTTCCCCCCCAGTATCTCTGAGTTACGACAAAAATAACTGAATTATCCCAAATACCTCTGCGTTCCTCCCAAAATGCCTCCAAATTCTCCTAAAATACCAGAACTCTCCCCAAATACCTCTGAACTCCTCCAGGTCCTCTTGCAGTGCATTCCGCTGGCAGCAGCAGGAGCTCAGGCTCTTCTCAAGCTCCACGGGGAGCCCAGAGGGGAAGTGAAGCCTTATTTCACTACAGCTGGGAAGATAAATGACAGAGATGGATGTTGCACGAGGAATATTTGAATGCCTCTCCACAGGTGGGGTGACAAGGGGGGGAAGTGACCAGTTTCCACATACCTGCTTACTATGCTCCCAACATCCTAAAAATAAAAAGGGAGAAAAAAGGGGGAGGATGGTTCAAGTTCTCATAGGCAGCACTTTGGAAGGGCTTTTGGGTAAGGAGGGCTCTCACCTGGGACAAGCGCTTGGCTTCCAGCTGCCCCGTGGAAGCTGTGTGATCCCCTCAGCCACCTGCGATGGTTTTTTGGCCTACGCAGCTGTGAAGGAGTCGTTCAGCTCCACCAGCCGCCCCAGGACCACATGCTTCTGTTCCAGTGGCACAGCCACTCGAACTTGGCCTCGATGTGGAGCCACTCAGCCTTGCTCGTCTCCTGGACGAGACAGAAAACCCCTGTGTAACCCCAGACTTGAACTTTCCCTTTCAAGCTAAAGAACAAAAGCACTCTGGCTGGAACCAGGGGGGCTGTGACACTGGGGCAGAGCTGAGGATGTGGCTAATTAGCGACTGCAGCATAATTAAGCACTTCACCCCATGCTTTTCCTTCTTTCCCCTCCCCTGTTGCCATTCCTGTTTATATTCTGTCCAACACCACGTCAGGCCCTGGAAAGCATGGGGGAGGGTTAATTCTATATTAACAAATGTCCCTTTAGGAAGCAGTCTGGGATGAAAATGAGCAATGCCATGAAAATGCAGTGATTAAGTGTTGATAATAAGCATCTGCACATGGAGGTGGTCAAACCTGCCCAGGAGCTGCACCAACCACTCCAACCGGGTTTGAGGCTTTGCAGGGCACAAGGATACCTCATGGATGATCCTGCATGTTTCTTCCAGAGGGTTTTGGGGAAAAATAAATACCCATTTGGACTGTCAAAACAAAAGGGGCCCCCTGTACCAGGTAGTCCCGATGATGCCTCTCTTCGCTCACTCTCCAGTCTAGAAACTGCCTTCACTCTCTAGTCTAGAAACTCTGCCAACACCTTCCTTAGGGATAGCAGGTGAGACTGGATTTTCTCCTGAATATACAAAAAAATAAAAATAAAAAATTATTTAAAAAAAATGTAAGTGATCGGCCCAGATAATTTGTATAATTCTGCCTTTAAAATCTTAATTTATTTGGGGGAGGAAAGCAAATAATCTTCAAAAAATGGCCCCTTGCTGCCTTCTCTGGAAAGCAGGGATCAACTCACTTTATGTTTCTCCTACAACCACAACCAGGCACTGGAGCTTTGCTTTCCCACCAAGAAATTAAACTATTTTCATTTTGCACCATTTTTTGGGGGGAAGGGAGGGTGGGAAGGGAGGGAGCAAAGTCTGATGGGTCTTAGGAAGCTGATCTCACCTCACAGGTGTCTGCAGGTCCCCCAAAAATCTTCATGACCACAGTCTGTGGCGGTTCACCCATTGCCTCCAGCACCCATGCAACCCCGAGGGGTTTTTGCCTCTTCAACACTGAGAGAGGAAGTTGTGGTTGGTCTCAGCATGCTGGTTTTGTGCCACTGCTGTGGCCATGCTGCCCTCCCGTGAGGAGAAAGCAATGCTGGTGGTTGGCAGTGGCACAGGGTGAAGCTGCCTGCCATCGAACCGCCCTTGGGTGTTCCTGCACTCAGCTTCCAGCACAACCTGCCCCAGTGGGAAAAGCAAATTTCCTCACCCACAGTTCTCTTTAAACATGTTTTATCTCTCCCACGTTGTCTCATTTCTAGGCATTGCTGTCTCATCCCTCACCTGGAATCTGCTCTCAACCTTGTCCCTGCTTTGCCTTGTTCAGCTCCATTGTGCAGAAGGGGCCACAGCCAGATTTGGGCCGCTAGAGGGCAAAATTTAACCAATTTCTTCCTAGTGGTGACGTGCAATAATGCATATTTTTTGCGCTGTCTTAATTTTCCTCCCTTCCCTCTCCAATGCCTGAAAGTAAATGGCCCTGAAATGGGGGGGGAAAAGTGCAATCAGAGGGTGCAGGAAATGTCAAAGCACGTCATGGCCCCATATGCAGGTGAGAGATTAGAGGGCTCCTCCCTTCTTGGCCGATAAAAACTGGCAGAGGCAGAGATAGGACCGAGCTTTGGCTGAGCCTGTGCCAGAGAGGGGAGAAAAAAATCCCAAGTGGAAACAAATCCAGTGGAGAAGCAGCCAGTGGAGGAAAAGCAACCCGAAAACAGCACCGGTGACACCAAGGAAAACACCAAAAAGGTTTGAGAGAGGGGGGAACTCACAGTGCTGAGAGGTGGTTACATCAACTTGCTGTCTTTTTTGGGGGAAAAGGGGATTTTGAGCTTTCTCTCCATCACATCAACACAAGAAGGAAAGTGGATTTGCCCTTGGCGAATGTCACCCCAATCCACAGAAAAGGCTGCAGGCAGGACCCTGGCAACTACAGGCCTGTCAGCCTGACCTCGGTGCCTGGCAGGGTTATGGAGCAGATCATCCTGAGTGCAATCACACAGCACCTTCAGGATGGACAAGGGATTAGACCCAGCCAGCATGGGTTTAGGAGGGGCAGGTCCTGTCTGACCAACCTGATCTCTTTTTACGATCAGGTGACCCACCTGGTGGATGAGGGGAAGGCTGTGGATGTGGTCTATCTAGACTTCAGCAAGGCCTTTGACACTGTCTCCCATAATATACTCCTGGAAAAACTGGTAACCCATGGCTTGGACAAGTGTACCCTCTCCTGGATTAGGAGCTGGCTGGAGGGTCGGGCCCAGAGAGTGCTGGTGAATGGAGCTGCATCCAGCTGGCAGCCGGTCACCAGTGGTGGTCCCCAGGGGTCTGTGTTGGGTCCAGTCCTGTTTAATATCTTTATTGATGATTTAGATGAGGGGATTGAGTCCATCATCAGCAAATTTGCTGATGACACCAAATTGGGAGGGAGTGTCGACCTGCTGGAAGGCAGGAGGGCTCTGCAGAGGGATCTGGATAGACTTGAGAGATGGGCTGATTCCAATGGGATGAAGTTCAATAAAGCCAAGTGCCGGGTCCTGCACTTTGGCCACAACAACCCCATGCAGAGCTACAGGCTGGGCACAGAGTGGCTGGAAAGCAGCCAGGCAGAAAGGGACCTGGGGGTACTAATTGACAGGAAGCTCAACATGAGCCAACAGTGTGCCCAGGTGGCCAAGAAGGCCAATGGGATCTTGTCCTGTATCAAAAATAGCGTGGCCAGCAGGAGCAGGGAAGTGATCCTTCCCCTGTACTCTGCGTTGGTGAGGCCACACCTTGAGTATTGTGTTCAGTTCTGGGCCCCTCAGTTCAGAAAGGATATTGAGGTGCTGGAGCGGGTCCAGAGAAGAGCAACAAGGCTGGTGAAGGGACTGGAGCATAAGTCCTATGGGGAGAGGCTGAGGGAGCTGGGGTTGTTTAGCCTGGAGAAGAGGAGGCTCAGAGGTGACCTCATCGCCGTCTATAACTACCTGAAGGGAAGTTCTAGCCAGGTAGGGGTTGGTCTCTTCTCTCAGGCACTCAGCAATAGGACAAGGGGGCACGGGCTTAAGCTCCGCCAGGGGAAATTTAAGTTGGATATCAGGAGAAAATTCTTTACAGAGAGAGTAATCAGGCATTGGAATGGGCTGCCCAGAGAGGTGGTGGATTCACCATCCCTGGAGATTTTTAAACGCAGATTGGACGTGGCACTGAGTGCCATGATCTAGTAAATGGACTGGATTTGGACCAAGGGTTGGACTCGATGATCTCGGAGGTCTTTTCCAACCCAATCGATTCTATGATTCTATGATTCTTGCTTTGACCTCAGGGTCTCTGTTTCAGATTTCATGGTGTTTTGCAGTGGAGGGTCATGGTGATATTTGCTCATAACAATCCATCTGGGGAAATCTGGGTGAGAAAGAGGATGTCTCCTGCTTTTATCTTCATTTAAGGGTGATTTTCTTACCTTTTCCTCACTTTTACTCAGCCCCCTGCTGCTTTAATCCCCCTTTCTGCAGATTTGCTGAGGAAATGAACACAAGAAAATGAAGCAACCTGTTCATTTTCAACCATTACAACATGGTTTATTCAACCGTTTTTGGCTTTATTACTCATTTCCAGGGCCCTTTAGTGCAGGCAAGCCCTTTTTTGCATGCAAAGCCCCAGGTTCTGGAGGATGGATTTTAGGCCCTTCAGCTCCAGCTCTTATCTCCCCTGCACACATTTTCTCCAGGACCAGCAGCAAATTTCTCCCCCCCTCAAAGGATTTCTCTGGACATGAGAGGTAGCCTTGGCTTATCTCAATTTTAAGGACTTTCCTCACTCAAATAACCCTTGTCAGATTTGGTTGATGAATGGTGGAGGCAGAAATGTATTTAAGACGGATTCAGCTCTGAACCAGCACAAGGAATGGGGGTTTGGGTTATAATAATATCTACAAGGTAGATGGGTCCATCCAAATGTACTCCTCATGTTCCCTTCATAGTCACTGGGAAATTAATTGATTTAACTGCTCTCCACGGGTCTTTCCATAAATGAACCAAGCTCTGTTACAACTGTTGGAGAAAAAAATTGGCATTTTCTTGAAGTATTTTGATTAGATGTGGTGGTTGAGCCCATTTCCTGACATAAAAATGGGCAGAAAGCTGATAAGGGCCTGTTTGGAGGACAATAATTTGATTTTATTCTTTCTTTCTTTCTTTCTTTCTTTCTTTCTTTCTTTCTTTCTTTCTTTCTTTCCTTCTTTCCTTCTTTCCTTCTTTCTTTCCTTCTTTCCTTCTTTCCTTTTTTCTTTCTTTCCTTCTTTCTTTCTTTCCTTCTTTCTTTCTTTCCTTCTTTCTTTCTTTCCCTTTCTTTCCCTTTCTCTTGCCTCCAGCCAGGAGGGGAGGACACTGCAGGCACAATGGCTTTCTTCCTCAAACCACGGCCATGCACGTGGGACCTTGCCCTGGACTACCACACTGCCAAACAGTTTGAAGGTAATCAAAGCAGGAGCAAAGTACTAATTCCTAGTGTTTTCTGGGCTGCATCAAATGAGATGTCTAATGAGTTGGAGATTCTCCAGCTCCACCTTCTGTATCCCTGGGTCCTTCATCTCCAGCCTCCGTGTCTTGACTCGTCCATCTCCAACCTGGCCCAGAGATCCTCCATCTCCAGCATCCATATTTTATCTCTTCCTTCTACAGTCTCAACTAGAGAGTCTCTTTTTTTTGACTTCTCTGTCTACAACCTGAGCTGGATATCCTCCATTTCCAACCTCCACCTCTTCACTCTTCCATCTCCAACCTCACCCCTCCTCTCCCTTTCTCCTTGAAAAGTCGGCAGTGACTTTTGAATCAGGTTTTTGGGTGCCTCCTCTACACTTAAATGTAGCTTCTGATCCCTTCTCTGTCTTGCTTTTCAGTGGATGTGACCCTGGATCCAGCCACAGTGGGTCCTGAGGTGATCCTCTCCGAGGACCTCAAAGAGGCCACTTGGGGCAGACCTCAGCGCCGGTGGCCTGAGGGTCCCAGCCGGTTTGACACAGATCCGTGCATGCTGGGCAGTGAGGGCTTCACCTCAGGCCGTCACTACTGGGAGGTGGAGGCCAATGGGCGCTTCTGGGCTGTGGGAGTGGCCCGTGAGTCGGTTCAGAGGAAAGGCCGAGTCCTCTTCAAGCCCAGTGCTGAGATTTGGGGCTTGCAGAAGTATGATGAGCTCTGTGTTGCCCTCACGGCTCCATCCAACACCTCCATCCCACTTCTCAATGGGGAGATTGGGGTCTACCTGGACTACGAGGTGGGACAGGTCTCCTTCTATGCTGTTGGCAGCCGCCAGTGCATCTTCACCTTCCCTGTGGCTTCCTTCAGTGGAGAGAAGGTCTTCCCCTACTTCTGTGTGCTCCTCTCAACCATCAAACTGTCCCCCAAGGGCTGATGTGCTGACAGGATCCTTCCACAGCTGGTTGCACCATGGTGTTTGGAATGCTCCTTGATGCTCCTCCAGTCTTCTCTTCCAGGTCTTGGAGTCCTTTCCAGCTCAACTCATGGTCCTACCTTCATCATAGATGTCTTTATTTTGGGTTATGTCCAGGGGATTTTGAGTCTGAGCTCAGCACAGCTCGTCTCATCTCAAAGCCACTGTCATTAAATTCATTCAAAGCTTGTTAACAGAAGCAGGGCTTTGCTGAACTGGTTTTGACCTGAAAACTTGACTTTTCCTCCCAGATAGCCTTCTCTGATAATTCCTTTGCTGACCCCAATGCCCATCACTGGCCAGGCTTCCAACCCACATTAAAAATCTTAATTTTTGCAGGCTTTGCATTAATGCCAGCTGCTGATTTTGTCATCACAAGGATGTGCTCACACTCACTTCACCCACTCTTTCCCTCTCTATGCTCAGGATGTATTTCCAAGTAATTAACATGCAATTTATATAAATGTGCTCAGAATATAATAAATTTTCTTTTCTAAGAAGCAGGAGGTGTCTGCATTTGACCTCTCACCAAGTTGCCCTAGACCTAAAAAGACCCCCCCAAGGCTGCCCTAGCCCCCAGGATCCCCTAGGACTGCCCTACGTGGGTCTCCAAAGGTTGCCCTTTCCCATCAACACCTTGTTGGTCCCCTGGTACCCTCAAGAACCCCTCATGCAGGGGATTCAAAGCCTTTTTGAGGTTTGGTGCAGCAGGTATCTGAGTGTGAGAAGCCCTCCCTTCAGCACCCAAGGAGCTGACACAGAGGTTTTTAGCCCGTCTCATCCCATTGCCCTTGCCTGAGCTCTGCAGCTCAGGTTTATTACAAATCCAGCTCCTCTCAGTGCTGCAGTAGGAGGAGCTGAGCCCGTTGTCATCCAGGTAAGCGCAGAGCCCACCACCACGGATTTGAAACCTGGAAGGACAGAGGAGAAAATCCCCCTCAGACAGGCTCAGCAGGAAAAAGGAGAAAAATCACAAATAGGCTTCCCCCCATTTCAGTTCTCTGGCATCCTTTTGGGCATCAACATGTCAAAATATCAATATATATTTCTTATATAGGAGTAGAAATTATTCAGCATCAATATGCCAACACTGATGCTGATTTATTTCTATTTCTAATAAGAAATCCAAAGCTTTGCAAGAAAAAAAAGAACTTACAATAAAACATCTAATTTCAGTATTTTCTCACCAAACACACCACTCCCATATCTTAGGTCAAGGAGAGAAACAAGATGCAGTGTTGCCCTTCCCAAACATCACTGTCCCATTACTGCCTCTGGATGCACCTCAAGTGCCAGAAGAAATGCATATTTTGTGGCTGGGGAAACACCAACTAACAACGTAACGATGACAAACACAGACTCACAAGCGTGATAAAAGTGAGTGGTTCACCCATTGCCATGGCTGTTCCTCATCTTTCCGCAAAAGGCCAATCCAATGCTCTGAAATGCCTTTATATCTCATCACAAAGCTCTAAAAAAGAGGAAAAAATGTTTTTACCTCCTTCTAACAAAAAATCTCCATTTTACCAGTTACTTGTGCTCCTTTAGGACTTCTTTGGGGCTTGAACCTTTCCACCTGCTAACAAGATGTGTCACCTAGCTACAGTTCTTGCAGCAGTTGGCTTTGGTGAGGAATTTCAAGAGACCCATGATGACCAAGCCTCAAGAAAACCCTCTTCCCCAAGTTCCTGCCCCAGATCTCCAAGGAAGACCAATCAAAGAAACCACGAGGTGTCAAATATGTTGGTTTAGGTTTTTTTTCCTGATCCTAAGCGTGTCCTCTTGTCTCCTTACCAAGTCTTCCATGCTGTCCAGGATGGCCAAGGAAGCACCAAGTGCTGAGCAGTTGTCCTGGCTGGATGTCCAGTTCCCTGCAGCCTCCGAAAAATAGTAGCATTTTCCTCTATATCTGATCCAGTCGAAGGGGCATTGAAAGTAGGGCTGGGGATGAGGCTGAAAAGCCTGCACTGTCATTAAAAATAGAACACTGTTAAGGAGCAGCACCTTTCCCTTGCGTCTCTCGAGTGGGGAGGTCATCCTCTACCCAATGGTCTCTGAAGGTCTTGCATCTGCCTCAACTGTGAGTAAAAAGAAAAATTAAGATACCAAGAGAAATCATGGGAGAAAATAAGCTCAAATCATGGCCCAGCTTGTGGTGTTGACCAAGAAACATGATTGCCACACCTTCAAAGAAAGAAACAGGGTGATAGCCTTCAGAAAACTGCAGTTTTAAAAGGAATTTCAAAATAATCCTATCCCTAATATGCTCTTGGGTGTTTCTCTCTATCATTAATGCAAAAGTAGTGAAAATGATAGAAAATAAATTCTCCTGTTCCTGGAGACTTCTTAGCTTGTTGGGACTCAAGCCAACGTCTCTAGGCCCATTCTTCTCTGAAAACAATACTTTTGGGTGGCTGTATGTATGAAATGGCTCTTCCTGTTGGTTTTCTAAGGATTTCTGGATGACATCAGCTCCTGCACCAAGGGGATGAGTTTGGTCTTCTGTAGAAGGGCTGCTCTGAAATGTCCCTCTCCTGAATAGGACAGCAGGTTGGGTAGGCTCTGTCTTCCACAGGAGAAGTGGAGGTAGATCTGTGCAACATGTGCAACAACCCAAAATATCTCAGAGACATTCCTCATGAGACCTAAAACCAACCTGCAAAAGTGATGGCTGTGACAAGCAGAGCCGTGAAGAGTGCTGCCAGCATCACCTGGCAGGCGACACGTGCCTCCGGCTTCATGTCCAGGCTGTGACCTGCAGGAGAACAGACCTTCAGTGCCTCTGTGAGAGTTTCCAGGGGAGCAACATGCTCCAGGTCATGCCCAGATGATGACAGGTTGGTCTCTTCCTCATGCCAGGGGACTTGGTGTCATTTTGTGTGAGAAATATAAAAAAATTCTTCTCCAGAATTATATACTTTTTTTAATTTATGGAAACTCTATGGAGAATCTCCTCCACAGCTCCAGCTTGAAACTCCTGAGATGCACCATAATTAAAATCATGCCTTAATTTCTGGGTTCTACCTCATTATTAAAGTTCAGTGGAGGTTTTTTCTCCACCTAAACTGAGACACTTTGGGTCTTGAAAATTATCCAAGTCATGGTGCCTCCGTCTCTGGGTCCTGTGATCAAGAATATGCTCTTTCCCTTCACTATGAGCAAAGAAAATTCTGTTTCCTAGCAGTTTTACCTAAAAATATTAGTGGTTTCACCTCATGGGACTACCCCCACTTTTTATTTAAGCTTTTCCCTTTTTGTCCCCATCTATCACATGAACCACACCTCATGGGACAAACCCTCCTTTCCCCTCTTCCTCTTGGAAAAATGTTATTAGAAAGTAAGTCAGAAACCAAATATGCCAGCTAATTAAAAAAAACCCCATATATATATAAAAAATATCAATAATTAAAAAAATATAGCAAATAGGAAAAATCAACAAATTTCTAAATCAAAAAAAAATTCCCCAAAAATCTTAGTCCCTGGTTGAATAGACTGAGATGATGCAAAAGACTCCCAAAGCTGCTTTTTTACCTTATTGTGGACCAAGAGGATGATAGAGATGGGAGCAAAATAAGGAGACCTGAAACAGGGCAGTGTTGAAGGGAAAGAAGTAGTTATTAAATATTTTGCTGATGTGTCCAAGTTGCATTTAAAGACCAAACTTCTTTTTGGGGCTTTTAACAGTTCAACTCTTCAAAAATTTCTTTATTCTCATCCAAAATAAATCATAAAATTGGAATATTTGTGGAAAAAATATACCCAAAAGAATCAGTTACTTGACTGCCTCAGGAAGGGTTAACCCTAAATGAAAATAACCCACAGTGTCTGAAATGGGGCTGTTTAGAGCAAAAGTTCCATCTGCTGAGTGACAAAAATTTTCCCTCAAGGGAAGTGCTAGAAAAAGCTTTCCCCTCACCCCCTTACAACCTTACTTCAGCTGGGTTTTGTTCTCAAATTACAGAAGTATTAAAAAGAAAAACAAACCCAGCGATTCTTCAGTTCATTGCCCTACAGTTACCTGCCCTCTTGCTCCTCTCCATGCCCAAAAATCTGGAATAGTCTCTCATTTCCTCCATTTTTGGGGTTCCACGTATACAGCTGCTCCTGCCTCACCTGCCAAGCAAAGTTCCATGTGTCAGAGGTACCACAAAGGCTGTCAGCGCTCTAAGTTTTCTCCCCATATTTAAAATTTTCTCCCTGGAATGAAACTTTTCTCCCGAGTTGAAGTTTTCTCCCACAATTAAAATCTACTCCCTCCAATGAAAATTTTCTCCCCCAGTCAAACTTCCCTCCATTAAAGTTTTCTTCCCCAAATTGTTTTCTCCCCTCAATTAGTTTTCTCCCCCTACTTATATGTTTCTCCCTTCAATTAAATTTTTCTCCCTGCAATTAAAGTTTCCTCCCACAATCAAACTTTCACCCCCAATTAAAGTTTTCTCCCTCAGTTAAAGTCTTCTTCCCCTATTAAAGTATCTTCAATTAAAATTTTCTGCCCATAATTAAAATTTCCTCCCTGCAAACCTTTCTCCTCAATAGTTTTCTCTCCCAGATAATATCTTCTCCACTCAGTTAATATCTTCTGTCCAAAATTAAAGTTTTCTCCCTCAAATTAAAGTTTTTTCCTCCCAATTAAAACAATCTCCCCCTATTAAAATCCCCTCCATTGAAAATTTCTGCCCACAGTTAAAATTTCTCCCCATAATTAAAGTTTTGTTCTCCCAATTAAAATTTTCTCCCCCAATTAAAATTTTCTCCAGCAATTAAAACTTCTCCCAGCAATTGAAATTCTCTTCCACACTTAAAACTTAAGACCACCTCCCCTTAGTCCCCCAGCCCATCCCAAGCCCCCTCACCCAGTGGGAACAAGCCAGATGCTGAGGCATAACCTCCTCTGTGAAGAGAAACAGAAACACAGTATGAAAAAAAAAGTTATTTTGGTTTATTTTATAGTTTTTTTTCCCAGGGATTTTCCTGCACCTCCTACAGGGTTATGGGTCTGCCTGCCAGAGGGCCACCTGCCTGTCCACCCACCGAACCAGGGGTTTCACTTCAGCTCCACCCTGCACCCCCTTCAGCACCTTTTCCTGCATTTACAGCTTTTTTTCTCAGCTGGGGAAGACAGATTATCCAAAAATGCTTTTTTTGGTGTGCAGGAGGGGGAAATGCTGATGGGGATCGCTCTGCCCTGGGATGTTGAGGCACCCCAAAAGGGACTTCAGGGATGAAGTGCAGTTCCCTTCAGCCAATTTTACCATTTTTTAAATATAGAAATGTAAAAAATAAGTGCTCTTGCAATTAAGCTACCCAATTGCAGGATTTTACCCTAAACCCTACTTTATTTTACATTTCTGAGGGGTTTTTTGTAATCAGTGGTCACACACCACTGGAGTGGCTGCTTTTGCAGAGGGCAGGAAAGCTGACTGACAGCAGCTGACCACAAAAACTTTCTGTGAGGGTAACAGACGCTGCGGGTGGAAAATAAAATAAAAATAAACATGAGATAATAAAAATATAAAATTTTCTTTTTAAAATAAGAACAATAAACCCAAAATAAAATTAAAAACTTTTAAAAAATTATTAAAAAATAAAATAATGCAATGCTTTTCCTTCTGGGACCTTTGGACCTTTGGGTTTATCCTCTTTTTACCCCATTTCTTGCTGCTGGCAGGTATTGAGGCAAATTTCTACTTTTTTTCTTGTTGTTTTCTGGGTGTCTGAGGCAAAAAACATTGGTTTTTAACTCTACAAAAAGGTGTTGCTTGGGGGTGTTACAGCAGTGGCCAAAACCTGAGTTAACACCAAAAAAAAATGAAGAAAGGGAGGGAAAAAGGTCAGCATAGGCTGGGAATTGGTGGTCATTCCAATCAGTGGCCAAGGTGTCCCAAATGTGGGAGGAAGCATGGGTCTGGGTAGTGTAAGAGGACACATCAGGAGTGGAAGGGATGGGCTTGCAGGAGAAAACTCTAAATCAAAATAAAATAAAGCAATAAAATAAAATAATAAAATTCAGTAGCAGCCTGCAGGAAATCCAGACTCTCACCTCCTCCTAGTGAGAACAGGAGCTAGGCCACTCCTGACCACACTGGATCTCCCTGACATAGGATCAAACATAGGCCAAATATTGTGTCAAAAACAGCAGAAAAAGTCACACAGAGCAAAAGGCATCTCAAGTCACTCCCAGCCCATATTTTGAAGAAGAAACACCAAATGCCACCTGCCTCCTCATCTAGTTACCTGCCTGCGGCCACACTGATACAGCCCCTGACACACTTCAGCCTTATCCTGAAAAACCTTATTTAAAGGCTTTCCTAAATTATTTTTTATTAATTTCTGCATGCTTTCACAGATGTTTTACACAACCATCAAACCCATAGGTGTTTCTACACCTCCAGGCATGCCACCTACTCCAGATGTGCCATCTCCTTCTGGCTGGAGGACACCCATTCCCTCACCGTCTTTCATTTACAAGGGAAGGCTATAGAATATATATATTAAAAAGGAAAAAAAAAACAGATAAAAGCCCTGGTCAATACCATTTCCTGGAGCCGGATGAAGGCATGACTAGATAGCTCACAAGGCAAAAGGTTGTCCAAGGACACTGTCACTTTTGGGCTGGTCCTGTAACCTTCTGAGTGGCCATGGCTGGGGAAATTGTTTATGCTGATTTAAGGCATCTTGGAGATGGTTCTTCTCCTGATGAGAAACGTTATGGTAAGTCCTGTTTTGGGGAAACATGGTTATTTCAAGCTTTGGGAAGACTTTTGTGTTTGTTTGCTCTTGGGTTTGCTTGCTTCTCCATTCCTGTGTTGAGGTTTCCAAGATTGCAGAGAACATTGGATGGGCTAAATGTCTTCTAAGGTGGGATTCTGGCTTGAAAAGAGGAGGAAAAAGGGCAAGAAGGGGATGAAGGAGGCTGACAAACATCTGGAAGTAGAACAGTTTTGTTTCTGAGACTTTACTTTATAGGCGAATGGGTCCAAGAAGCCCAACATGAGCCAACACACCTGAATGGGAAGGAAAGCTGCTGAGATCTTGTCGGGAATCCTGGTGGAGATGAGAGCTTGGGAGACCTATGTCTCACTGACTCCCAGCTCTGCTGGGAGCTCTAAAATTAATCCCATTTCAGAAGGTTTCAGGTCCCCCGAGGTCCATCACTGGGTGCCCAAAGCTGCTCCTGAGGCTCCTGCAGCCCCTCCACCACCTGAGAAACCACCCGTGGGTGATGCCCTCACACTAGACCTCATCAGTGGTGATTTACTTTTTAGAGGAAGCAAAGAAGCTGTAAACTTCTGCTCCAACTCACCAGCTTGACAGAGGGGCTTTTTCTTTTTCCTCTAAAAGCCCAGCTTTTTCATGTTTCATTTTTTTAAGCAAATATGGTCTCTTTCAGCTCCTCATTCCTGTCCATGGTGGCACGGGCTCCTCCTCAAAGCTGGGGGGCTGGGGCAATTCATCCTGCTGGTCCTGGTGGTGGTACTGAGTGTGCAGGGTAAGTAATCAGCTCTTACCTACATCTCACACCTCAGAGAGCAGCCTGAGAGGGGATATCAGGGTTTATTTCAAGCATTTCAGCCTCTGGAGGGGACGAGGTTGTCCCATAGAGATGCAACATCACCCACCAAGAGTAAGTTCTCTCTAAGTTAAAAACATTATTGTTAAAAAAAGGTGGAGTATACAAGCTGTGTTTTTCAGGCTGGCTTAATTAACTGCGTGAGAAAATGAAACCTGGTTTTATGGGGTTTTTGGCTTTTATCCCCAGATGTCTGGAGCTTCTCCCTCCCAATCATTTCTCCAAGTTTTTCAGGGCTCTCCACAGCCAGTGGTGATGAGAGTTCCCCAGCCAGGTGATGAGATCCAGGGAAGGAACCAGAAGGAGCAATACATGTTTTCATCCCTGGTGCGGTATTTCTGCAAGCCCCAAGTGGAGAGCCCCACAGGTAATCCTCCATTCCTCCTGGCTCTGCTGGGAATGCTCAGATGAGAGCTTTTTGGAGGGCTTCTCCTGCAAGGACGCCCTTGGGGCTGCGAGGCCACCAAGCGTTACTTTGCAAAGAAGAGTGTTGCAAGGAAGAATTATCTTTTCCATGCAATTTTTGCTGATCCCTCCTCCACAGAGAAGCAGGGTCATCCCAAGGGAGGAGATTCCTCACCATCCTGGCCTCTGTCTCACCAGGTATTTTTGTCCTTGTGGTCACCCAGCTGCAGTCATCATCCTTCTGTCTGGTGGCTGAGCAGGAAAAACCACAATGATGTGAAAAAACTCAAGGGTGGGAAAAGAGCCAGGGTGTGAGATGGGGAAGCCCTTAGAGCCTTCAGCTGGTGGCTGGGGAAGACCTTGACCACCCTGTGGGGTGTCTCATGGCTTTTTCTTCTCTTGCAGCCTATGCTGGCTGCAAGCTGTGTCCCCAGGACTGGCAGCTACATGGGGAAGGATGCTACTGGCTTTCTGAGGAATTGGGAAACTGGACTCAAGGCACAAAAAGCTGCAAAAATCAAGACTCTCAGCTGGTGGTACTCCAGGAAAAGAAAGAGAGGGTAAATAGGGAGAAGGCTTGAAAAGGACCCAAAAGTCCTGATTTTTGAGTGGGCAGGGAAGCAAAAAGTGCCTAGTAGCAGGAGGGCTTGGAAAAGCATTCAAAGCATTGGGGACATTCATGTCTCATGAGTTTGGAAGTCAGATTTACTCCATGGCTTTGCACCCCACGAAGCCCTCCACAGAGAGATTTTGGAATCAACTGGTCACTTCCATTTTCCAGGAGCACATCAAGGTTATTACAGGCAAAAGCCCACCACCAGTGTGGATTGGAGTAAGGTCACATCAAAAGGAGTGGAGATGGGTGGATGACACACTCTTCAACCCCAAAATGTGAGTGTATCCACAGCCCGTTGGTGTAAAAAGAAGCTTTGCTCCATTTCAGACCCAGTTCATGCCCTGACCCATCTCTCCAAGATGTTGGGGTCTGTGCAATGGTCTCATATTCCCCCTGCTAAAGCTCTGCAGACCAAAAGCTGGCAGAGCGCGGTAACCCCACAGCTCCCATCAGACCCATGCAGCAACACATCTTTTCACGCTCCACATATGCTCCTCACAGATCTTACTGTGCGCACACCAGTTCCTCTCAAATTTGAGCACCCACCAGTGAAATGGTGCAGTATGATGAGAAAGTGCAGGAAAAGAGCAGGAGAACCCCCCCCACCTCTTCTTTTCTGCAAAACTGGGAAAGTTTCCTCCTCTTAAGCAATGTAATTTTTATTCTGCAGGTTTGGCACCTCCCTGGAGGAGATGGGTGAAGGGTGCGGGACACTAAAAGCCAAGGGCTTTGAGGTTCATAGATGCGATGCCAAACACAAGTGGGTTTGCAAAAAAAAACCCTTCCAGCTCTACCCGATAACAGCAGGAGGCGAGGAGAAACACAATGCCTCCATCTGACACATGCCCACCCCAAAATGCCCATCCCATGAGATGCTGGGGTGGAATCAGCCCCATTCTCATCATTATGTCTTTGCAGGAGATTTCAGGCTTTGCAAATCCACTTCCCACAAGGATCAAGACCAGCTTGGGAGGCACAGATGAGCCCCTGAATGGGAAATCAGAAAAGCCTGTGCCTCATGCCCAGTGATGAGAGGCTAGAGCTACAACATCAATAAAAGCTTATCAAAGTGGTTTGCCTCAATTTACTGAGATAACTCAGGTGAGAGCACAGGTGGCACATCATGGTTCACATATAAACAAGGGAAATTTCAACTCAAAAAAACTTTCCTGAGTGACAGAACTTACATGTGTGCGTCTCTCCAAGCACTGCTGAGAGCGTCAGCACATAGACTGATGCAGACAGCCGGGTTTTGCTCAAGTTTTGGGGATTTGGAGGGTTTGGTTTGTCTTTTGCACTTTTTTTGTTGTTTTTTTGTTTTGGATTATTTGTTGCTATTGTTTTGGAGTAGTTTTTTTGGTTTGGCTTTTGTTTGTGTGCTTGCTTTTTGATTTTTTTGGGGGAGGCAAACTTTTTTGGGTTTTTATTTGGTTGGTTGGTTTTGTTGTTATTACTAAATTCCCTCCCCGCCATTTTTTGACCTTGTCAAGCAAAGAAACCTATTCATTGAAATTAATTCAACCCAAATGCATAGCTTATGCATTTGAGTGACTTTTAGACAAAGTCTGCTTTCCAAATAACATAGAAATTATCAATAGGATTTGCTGCTGCAGTGCTCCAGCAGCAATGACCATCCAGCTTGTCTGGGCAGAAAGTCTCATGAAAATACAAATTCTTATGTGTTGGTGATAGGTTCCCATGTAGGGATTTATCAAAGGAAGCTGTGCTCAGTTCTCCCCTGTATCCTGATCAGTCCTGTTTACAGGGTCTCTTTTCCCTTCCAGAGGACATAGTTGTCAGGTCTGCTGCAGACCCAGTTGTTATTGGTGGGGCTCAAGGATGAGCTGATCCTCCCTTGGTTCAATTATGCACATGGCCCACTACCCTGCACCTCAAACCTGCAATGCCAACATGCTCAGGAGAGCAAGAAGAGGAAAAGAAGAAAACTACCTGCAAAGCATTAAGAAAAGCTGAAATTTCCTCTCTAGGAGAGAAAGGGTAGTGTTTGGCTGAGGGTATCCAGTAGGGGATTGCTGTGCAGTCCCTGGTCCATCCCAAAACTCCTATCGAAAGCCAGGAGCAGCCTGGATATGGTGTCAGGAGAAGGTCCCCATCCCAGGATGGATCATTCCCATGTCCACTAAGAAATCCCTTGAAGGCGGGAGCAGCAATGCAACAGCCCTCCAGGGCCCTGTCCTACCATACTAAGAGAGAGACCTGCCCCAGGGGCTGACCCCAAGTGCCCAACATGGAGAGAGGGACCAACCTGCTGTTGAAGGCTGTGCTATCTGTCCACCACTACTTGCTGTTCCTCTTTTGCAAGCTGTGGTTTGCTTTGCCCTTATAGCATATAATGAAAATCTGTAAAGCAAAGAAACATCATAGTTTAGCCAGTCTTGTCTTCCCCACCTCTTCTTTTCCATCTCTGTCCATTACCCCACACAGAGGTGATGCTTTTCCCAAAGTATCTGCTCCTGGCTACACCACTGGGTGCAGTTTGGGGCTGGAATCTTACTTTATTGGTTTTGCTTTCATGTTTCCTGTCCGGGTGCTGGCACAGAGATTCAAGCACAGATCTTATCAGTTCATCCATGGTGCTTATGATGGCCAGTGAAGCTCCCAGGGCCTTGCAGGTTTCATAACTGATGATCCAATTGCCCTCAGCCTCAGAAAAATAATAGCATTTACTTTGGAAACCAAGGCAGGTGTCTGGGCACACATGGAAGAAATCCGGGTGAGGGAAATGGAATTCCATAAGATAACTGAAAAAGAGAAAGCCAAGTGAGATATGTGGGCAGTTCGAAAAAGCAGAAGAATGGGATTTATTATTTTTATTCCTAGAAGCTGGGAGAACTGGGGATGATGATCTTGGGAATGGTGTGATCAAGGGAGGAGCCAGGTGCGTGGATCACAGCTTAGAGAAAAAAAGAGAAGCAAGCTTTGCTTGGTAAACATCTCTTGATGCTGGGAAAATTTTTGGAGATGGAGAGAACTGTGAAGCTTGAAGGCACACTACATAGTTATGTTGTAGAGAATGTCCAAAGCTGTGACAGATTGTCATGCAAGTATAATGCATATTTTACAAAATATGTATAATGTATGTGTTTATACACAGCATGCTAAATCTTGGTTGAGCTGATTTTTTACTGTTTTCAGTATGACCAGGAGTCACCTCACTGGGAAAAGAACTAAATATTCTAATCAGCCTCCTGCAGAAATAAAAAATATTTATATGAAATTACAGTATTCTAATGTTTGTTCAGCAAATGTGTCATCATTAAATAGTGTTGAAAGACAGTCACCATAACTTTTGAAATGTATTTGCTCCAGAGAGCCAGCATGTAGTAAACAAACATTGTGTAATTTGGCCAACCAACCATACAGCATGAGAGCAGTGTCCTACTAACTGAGAGTGTAAGTATCTAAATATTACAAGCAAAAAGGAGATGCCAATCCCTCAGGGACAAGGTACAACACTCAGCAATTTAAAGCGTTGGCTTTAATGAAAGCACGGCGTTGCTGTGGTGGGAGCCTCAGTACACCAACACTAAATGGGGGGACCTGATAGAGTAGAACCCTGCTTGGAAGTATAGCTCAAAGGATAGCACTGCAGGGGTGGATAATAAAACTTGCATTGATTAACTGATTTGCCTTACATATCTATGTAAAGTCCTGTTTTGGTCACTAGTGAACTCTGATGTAATGCAGGTACTGTGGTCTGAATTCCGAGTTCTGCAGCTGGTCATTACATTAGTGCCTGTGCAAAGGTGGGTGCAGATGAGAGGGGAAGTATGGGTTTCCCTCTCCCCATCCACGACGTGGGGGAGCCCAGCTCTAGTTCCTTCTCCGTCTGAAGAACCATTTCCGACGTCTTGTGGGACGGGGAAGGGGAACTCCAGAAACATGGTTTTTCAGGCCCCGAGCCTGGAGGGGAGAGGTGCCCTCCCCTCCCCCCAGCACCCACGTGGCTCCATGGCAGGCACAGAGACAGCACACCGGGCGTGGAGAGGAGGCAAGAGAGTGTTTATTGTTGGGAAGGGGTTTATAAGGCTTTTAGGAGGGTCAAAGGGGAACCAATCACGAGTTCAGGGTCACACAAAAGAAACCATCAGGTTAAGGGTCAACAGCCAATAGGAAGGGGTTAAACAAAGGACCAATGGGACACCTCAGGACACCTTTCCCAGGACACTCCTGCATGGGAGATAACAGTTGCTGTGGGGGGTATTGGGAAGAAGAAACACGTGTTTGCAAAGGGACCACAAAGAGCCATTTTAAAACATGTTTAAACAAGTTTCTCATCAGGTATAGTGCCACAGGGAAGCAAGCTATCCAGGGCTACCCTCACAAAATAAAATGTGCTTGGGACTCTGCATATGTGGATGGGAAGGAATGAAGTACTCCAGATTACCATGACAACAAGATTCATACTTGGATGAGGGAGATGAATTATCCTGGGTTACCATAGCAAAGTCTTCTTGAGCCCTACACCACACTTGTCTCTAGTTCTCTTTCTTCAGAAGCCCATTAACTGTGTTCTGACCGAAGGAGGTCAGCTCTGCTCCATATAGGTGACACAGCCAGACAGAAGATACTTTCTTAAACTCCCAGCACAGGAGGTAAGCTATACAGTACACTGTCAAATATCTGGCTTAGAAACTACAGCAAGTGTTTTGCCTTCCTGAAATGAGACAATAAACTTATCACAATGGATATTCTGTTATAAAAGTTGCTACTACCTTCACTTGGATGAGTTCTGTGTCTTTACAGAGGCAAGGATGTGTTCACTTCTAATTAGACTGAAAACAAACCCCGCAATTTGGCGGTTTCCAAACAAAACAATGGTACAAGGTTGGCAATTTTCAGAAAAAGCTAATAATGAGACTAACATGTTTAATCCCATTCCAGGTTTCATTTCCCTAGTCACATTTCTTGTCTGCCTTTCTAATGGATCCCAGCTTTACAATAACCAGGTACTCTTCTGTGAACTTTTGGCACATGGAAAGCAGCCAACAGTCAGTTTTGCCACATGAGATCCAGCTTCTGATGTAGCAAGGACATAGGCAGGCACTGGTTCGTCTCCTGAGGAATACACTTTTTTTTCCTGAATATTTTTTTAATTTAGAAAGTAGAAAGAAGATAACATACCCTACTGTACAAAAAAAGTAAGCAAAATCTCTAAGCTGGATACTTTTGCAGACAACAACAAAGCAAGCACCTGTATTTTGAGTCATGAAAGATACGTAGGTACTGTACAGAATAAAGAACAGGTGTTCTATAGGGCCAGAATATGACGATGAAACTATTATATCCTTTGGCACTATTTAAAAGAGTCTCATCCCTTTTAGAGTTATTACTTCTCTGTCCTGACACATGCAGAAAAAATCTGCTACACCCAGGGGACAACAAGCATTACACACTACACCTAGATACCTGACAGTGTGATACACACAAAGCTTCCATGAAAGCAGTCATATGAGAAGATGAGCACTCTCTTTACTAACTCAGATACCCCTCCTTTTTTGTTTTGCCTTGGCTTTTATGTAGAGATAATAATAGATTCTATCAATTTAGTCTTTTGCATCCTCCTTTTCCAGTGTCACTGATGTTTTTGAACCAGGAATGACATCACAAATTACCCTTTATTATGACAGTAACGCTTAAAAGCAAAAAGCAAGGAAGAAAGGGATCTGAACAAAAGCATTTTGAAAAACAAATGCAAAATGTACAAGCAATATTTATTACAAAGGGAACATAAAGTACATTTTTATTTTGCCATAACAGAACAATAACCAATTTTAACAAATTGCCTGCATTTTTAGAATATATACAGATGCTCCGTAATCAGTGACCTCAACAACAGTGCTCATCTGCCACCCAGTGTCTATTTGCTTTTTTCCCATCTTACAAAAACACACAACCTGAAGACTATTTGCCAAGATGAACTCTACGTTATTATTTATGTTTTAGTTAAATGTTACCAGCAAACTAGACTGCTATCAGAAAATATGAAAATTAGGCTGAAGAAACTAAAGAAACATGACTGATCATAACAAATTATTCAATGAGTCTAATCAGAAAAGTGATTTTTTTTTTCATCAAGTGTGTACCTAACAAAATGATGGAGTACAAGGAAATACCATTGAGGAGGTCCTTAAATTTGTAAGGGAGAGAAAGCTGGGGGACATGGCATAAAACTAACGCCTACTAATATCCTTTACAGTCTCAAATTAATTAGCATGCAGAGAAATATTTACTTGCCTAATTCCTGAAGACACAAGCTGAGTTAATTTAAACTTTATTACGTTCCCTGGGAGATGAAAAATAAATTATAGCAGTGTGGCTGAATAACTGAATTACTGGGACAGTAACCAAAAACTAACCTTACAGAAAGAGATGGAGGATGGAGAGCAAAGGAATCAGAAGAGCAGACGACTGATAGAAGAGAAAGAAGACATTTCCTACTTTGCATCCTCGAGTATTTATTCTAATACTATTAATATTAGAATAGAAACATACATGAAAGAAATATCAGTAGAAGCTACCCTCTGTGGTTGACAACTGATGGATTTATAGGACAAGGGGACAGTCAGTGGCTTCTGCTTGACCTTCTCTTGATTTTTCAGGACTGGCTTTCTCCAGAAGGACAGAAACCTGAAACCCAGCAAGGACAAAGGAATTGCAGCTGAATTAAAGCTAAGGGATGAAAATATTTTAAATTAACAAAACACCTGCTCTTGTAGTCTGGCCAAAGGTTACTAGCAATAACAAAACAGAATGAAGACAGGCCATTATTATAAATAATTTTTTTCTCTTCCCCCATCCCCCTACAAAAAATAGATAAGATTTTGGCTTTTAAAAGACTGCTTAATCATTAAATAAATGACTTGTCACAGACTTCAAAAGTGATGATGGAAAAATAGAAAGCAGACTGTCAAGTTAACCTGGTGTTACACTAGGTGTCAGAACATAGAGTGTCCAAAGAATGGAAAAATTATGTAATTGACTTGAGGGGAGCTAGTAGAGCCTGACATTCAAAGAGCTCAATTTAGAGCAGCATATAAGGGGACCAATGTATACCAGGTCATGTACTTTAGAAAGACAAAATCAGACACAAACACACTATATGTGAATACGTATGTGAATACACATATTATGTGAATACATATTCATTACAGCACCAACTAATTAAACAACCTAGCATTCCTAGGAACACTTTTTATCAATTCAAAATATTTCCCCTATTCTCTATCAAGCTGCCACTAAGCAAAATCAAACTTAGCTAATATTAGATATATCTATGATTGTGTACTTTAAAGTTATGCAATATTTTGAAAAAAAGATGAAATTTCATATCATCCATATCTGCATCAACTTCAGAACAGTCTGTACTTCGTATGAAAAAAAATCATGTTTATACCACTGTAAATTAAATTCTACAAACTGTAAAACAGCAGAACCACAAGGACAATTAGGAAATTTATATCTGGAAAATACCTGAAATCTTGGCCAATCCTAAAGGACACAACTCAAAAGAAAGAACGAAAAGCCCTAAATGCAAACACCTTAAAGGGCAGGTAATTTTCCACCAAGATTATGGACAAAGGAGAAAATATGAGAAAGTTTTCTTTTATGTAAAACTTGCCTGAATATCTTATAAAAATAAAATCAGTTATGATATCACCTTGTTATGATCAGGTTCTTTAAAATCATTAGAGAGATGCCTCTGACAAAATTAAGCTGCAAACAAGGCCATATGCCGAAGGCAATAGTAGAGATTTTTATTTAACAGTAAATGTGAGGTAGAGAGAGATATAAAGGAATAGGGAAGAGAGAGTGAGGGTGGAGTGGGGAGAGAGAGTAACAGAGAGACAGATTAAGTAGAAAAAATATCACCACTCTGTGGGTTCCAATGGCGTCCCGTTGATCCTCTTCTTGGGGTCTTCCTGGTGGTTAGAGTCCCAGTCTTGTCAAAGTGATGGTTGCAGTCCGGACCGGTCAAGGAAAGCCCGGGGTAGTGAGGGAATGTATCAATCTCAGCGTATCAGTGAAGTGTAGTGAAGGAAGAATACTGTATCAGTGAACGAAGTCCCACGTGGTGAAGGAAGAGGTCTGTGGCGGTAAGGAAAGAAATCCGTTCAGGAGCGAATAATAACCACAGGGGGAAAGGGAAAGCAGTCATGCCACCCAAAGAAAGGCCTCTTGTGAGCCAGATGTAAAGAATTTTAGAGAAGCACACAGGTAGTGAGAGTATTTTGAAAAAGAATGGAGAAGACACAGAAGCAAATAGTTAATAAACAGACTGTTCCTCTCAACTTCCTAAGTTCCTGTTTTGCAATGGCTTCAGCATGGGCTTGCTATTGAAACAGGAGCCAGGCCTAAAAGAGTTAACTGAGACATCTTGGCCTGCTAAGAAACCTCAATACCTGTTTTGCTAGAAGAACATTTTAGGAGCACTGGTTAATATCATGTTCTGTTCTGCTCACTGGACCAAAGGCCTTATTATAGAAAGAATAGGAGTAATACACACACGGTAATAAATTAGGTAAACTAGACGTCTGAATAAGATCTAGAAGGCTCAGAGCCAGGATTTTGCAAGCTTGAAGGATTCAGGTCACCTAATTGAAGAGGTCAAATTGAGGAAGATGTCCATGGCGACCACCAGAGGGATGAAGGCTTGAGCAGAAGACCCCCAAAGTACAAGACTGTGCATGCCTGGAAAGACTCCGCCCAGAGACTAGCCTACTTATTAATATGTATAATAAATGATGTAACCATGTATCTAAAGTGTATAAAATGGCTTAGTTTTGCACTTACAAGTCGAGCAAGTTTGTCAGCGCGAGCTGGCTTGCTCCCAACGTTGAATAAACAAATACCTTGCTGCTTAAAGATAAAAAGTCTCTGAGCAGTTTCTTGGACCAATTTTTCGGATTCACTATCTCAGTAGACATAGCCATTCTGTCTTACACCACTTTTTAAAAAACAATCTTCAAACACAAATAACATACAATAATATACAGTAAAGTGCAGGAAAAACACTGAAGAGTCCTTTTCTCACCAGTTCTAGGTATTACAGTGATGTGTAAAATGGCAGCAGAACCACTCATCTACCATTTATTTGGATCTTCATTTGCATCACATATCTGCCGTAGAGAAAAAAATCTTGAATAGATGATAGCCATATTAGAATTGAGGTATCACAGAACAATCATGTGTGAATCAAAATAAATTCAATTACTATCATATACAATGTTGTCATGTGAACTATCCATCTGAGAGATGATCTTTCATCACCACTTCTATCAAAGCTCCAGACCGTAAAATCTTAAAGAAATGTTAAATTCAGTTCCAGGAATGGGCCAAATACTGCATCTTATTATGTCAAGATACATGTGAAACAAGAATAACCTATCAGTTGTAAAGAAAAATAAGATTATGGAATTAATTACAGCTTGTACAAGGCTTGAGACATCAGTTTCTAGCCCAAGGCACCCAACAAATGAAAATCACCTTTTCAAAGCAAATCTCATGAGTCAAGAGAAGGAAAACAGGAGGAGGGCATTAATTCTGTCTCTTTGTGTTGATCCAAAATGCAAAAACTGAGAAAAACGTTGTGTTTCTTAGCCTGAAACACACCAAGAAATGTAGACTTAGGAAAGAAAAAGAGCATTCACATGGTATTCCTTAGTCCAGTCTTACACATATGCATCAGTCCAAGTCTGCAGGACCCTATCTCAGAAGGGACTCATTGGACTTTGGCTTTATTACTGATAATCTCAAAAGGGTGCTAGATTTATATCTATTCTTGGAAGTTCTCTCATTTTATATTTTTTACTTTTATCATCCCATGTAACAGGGACTGATTTCATAGACCTTAGCATTATACACAGAAAAACATTTGATTCCTACAAAGAAATGATTGAGTGAAACCCACTATTTTTGTTCTTATATCCCATAAGGAGACTTGTTATGACCAACATGTAAGTATTATCCATTTACACCACAGCAGTAATCCCTTTGTTAAATAATCGTCCCGCGGCAAGAAGCTTCCCCCCTCCCCTCCATTTAACCTAACCTTTTCCTTGCACAAACTTGCTAGCAGACTTTATACCTACGGCTCCAAAGAACCGCTCGGTGCCTCCTGTTTGGAGGAAGAGCTAAATAACCAACTTACGGGCGAGAAATTAGGGCTACAACTAGAGCACATTTTAATTTCACGGGTGTATTACCACTGCAAAGGTATGGCCTCACTTTCAGCTAACTTCCATTCCCAGACGAGATCCAAGTTCTTGACAACCACACAGCACCCCAGGAGCTCTTAGCACTGATCATCCGCATATATATACAAATACACACACATACACGAGTAGTTTGCCAGTGCCGTGCCTGCAAGGAGGTGACCGGCCCTCCACCGGCACGGAAGAGGCAGGGGCAGGGGAGGGGACGGGACAGGGGCAGTGGCAGAGACAGGTACAGAGGCAACGGCAGGAAAAGGGCAGGGGCGGCGCTGGAGCAGCGACAGGGACAGAGGCAGAGGCAGGAACGGGAACAGTGGAGGGGGCAGGGACAGGAGCAGCATTAGGGGTAGGGATGGGCAGCGGCACGGATGGCAGAGGCAGGGACAGGGGCAAGGACAAGGAGAGGGCCAGGAGTAGACACACGTGCAGGACAACGGGCAGGGGCCGCTGTGGGGGCAGGGGCCGCTGTGGGGGCAGGGGCAGGGGCAGGGGGGGGAGCAGCGGCAGGCACAGCCCCAGTGCCGTCCCGCCCCGCCCCCGGGCCCGCCCGGCGCTCCGGCCCCGCCCCGCTCGGCGGAAGTGTCGCTGCCCCAGTTCCGGCGAGGCGGTGGCGCCGCCGGGACGGCACCGGGCATGGCGCTGTGGCTGCCGCGCTCCCGGGACGGCAGCGCCCCGGAGGAGGAGGGCGAGGAGCGGGCGCAGGCTCCCGCCTGCCGCCAGCGTCTGCCGGAGGTGCAGGTACAGCCGTGCTCCCCCGCGCGGGGCTGGCGGGGCCGCGGGCGCCTCGGCCCTGCGGGGGAGCGGCGGGGGGACGCGGGCACCGCGCGGGCGGGGCGGGCGCTGCGGGAGGGCCCGCCCGGCGCCCGGCGGGGACGGGGGGGGAGAGTCTGGCGTCTGCCGCCGGCCCTGGGTAGCGGTTCCACCCTGGGCAAGCGATGTGCAAGGAGCTGGGCTGGAGTCATCCCAGCATCCCTGTGCCTGAAGAGAAGATACATAGGCAGTGTGTTTCGCTGTTGGCCAGGGCAAGTCGGCGATTTATAAACACGTTGTTGGGAATTCTGTGTGTTCTCGCAAGAAGCTGTCATTACGTTAGTTTTCCAAAGAGTGGGATTTTCTTCTTGTTATTGCAGAAGTAAGGATGCTGTAATTCCGAAACAAAACTGGGACAAAAACTTTGATGTACCTGCATTAAAGTTTCTTTCAGATAATCTTTTTTCAGCTTGTCCTTCGTGTGCCCCTGCCAGAGGTTATCAGCAGTGCAGATTTCATAACATGGCACTGGAACGCTGAGGACCTAATGCATATGGATGCTTTCTTCTTCACTTTTGGTGGAAAAGGCATGGCATATGCTATAGAGGATAATTTCTTAAATTACTGAGCGTGAATTCCCAGCACACTCCTGGAAGTAATATAAGCAGAGTTGCTTAAGACGACATTTTTCTCTCCCAGCTATGAGTGATAACCTCCTCAACAAATTTGACCAAAAGGAGCATATGTTTGTGCTGGGCCTCAGCCACTCTGTAACTTAAATTCCACTTTCAGTGTCGGTTCAAGGGAAGAAGATATTGGCCATCTGTTTAGTACTAATCCATACTGGAATGCAGGCAGCAGCAGTTACTTTACTGTTGTGATCTGACATCACCAGAATGATACTTTCTTCTCAGAAGTGTATATTCAGAGTATTGTCACACTTGGCTGCTGCTAATGTTGCAGCCTAAAGATAGCCAGAGGGGTTCAGCTGTGTCAGAAGTATTTTTACAGTCTGGAGACTTTAACTGATAGCAGTACATGATCCAGGATTTTGCAAATACACTTAACAAAGTTAAGGTGGCTTGCATTGGAAATATTTTTGTACAAAACGCAGCTGTGCAATGCCATGCTTCATTACTCTTGCTGATATAATGCTGCATATCTAAGGTGCCTTCCAGGTGCATAATTATTAACTTTGGGATTTAGGCCAGTCTGCTTCTATACAAACTGTAAACAGACAATTTTCCCTCCATAAATAGCATGTCTGATTTTCCTCACAGACATACAGCCAGGGGATTGAATTAGCCTGCCAAAAAGAAAGAGAGTTTGTCAAGCACTCTGTAGAATGCACGTGGAACCTAGCAGAAGCCCAGCAAAAATTTGGTAGCTTAGCATTGCATAATTCAGAATCCTGCGATCAAGAGTCTGCTCAAGCGAGGACAGAAGCGGCGGAGTTGAGATGGAGAGAGGAAGAGTGGAGAAGGAAAGAAGAAGCACTGAACCAGAGGGAAAGACAGAATCTATGGAACGCAGATCCTGTTAGTAAGGAAGTATTTAATAAGGTATGACCCATATTGGTGTGCATGGAAAAAAAGTCTTAGGCTCTTTTGTTCATTCTGGTTGTTACTAGTCTCTGAATGTATTCTGTGTCTAGTACAGCACAAAAATGGAGTACGTCCCTCATCTTTTTGCCTGCGAATATCATGAAACAGATCCTCCTAGAATCTATGCTAAGGTACATGGAGCACAGGGAGATGATTTGGGACATGGATTCACAAAGGGCAAGTCCTGCCTTAACCAACTGAGTGGCCTTCTATGATGGAGTGACTACAGCAGTGGCCAAGGGAAAGATTACAGATGTCGTTTATCTGCCTCTCTGCTCTGCCTCTGTGAGATCCCCCAAAGTGCTACGTCCAGCTCTGGGTTCCCCAGTACAAGAAAGACATGGATCTGTTAGAGCAGGTCCAGAGGAGGGCTACAAAGATAATCAGAGCGCTGAAGCACCTCTCCTATGAGGACAGGCTGAAAGAGTTGGGGTTGTTCAGCCTGAAGAAGAGAAGACTGCTGGAGAGCCCTTATTTACCTTATTGTGGTCTTTCAATACTTCAGGGAGCCTTAGATGGAGAGAGACTTTTTCATCACACCCTGTTGTGATAGGACAAGGGGCAATGGCTTTAAACTGAAAGTAGATTTATATTGGATATAAGGAAGAAATTTTTTTATTATTAGTGTGGTGAGACATGGGAAGAGGTTGCCCAGGGAAGCTGTGGATGCCCCATCCCTGGAAGCAACAGAGTTCAGATTGGATGGGTCTTTGAGCAGCCTGATCCAGTGGAAGACAGATGTCCCTGTCTGTGGCAGGGAGGAGTGAAACTCTGATCTTTAATTGTCCCAGCCAACCCAAAATGTGAAACTTAGTTTGCTTCTAATACTGAATACTATAATACAGATTATTTAGCACAAAGTTTTTTTATAGTAGAATCTCAGCTTTGATTTAACAATTTAATTTAAACGGCTAGCACATCTCCTAATTTCACTGATTTAGCTGCATCCAGGATGCAGTGTACATGGTTCTTATCACTGACACATCAGTAAGTTTCCATCTGAGGACAGAAGTTTCTCAGAGACTATAATGAGACCTTAAAACTCTGTTATGAGGTAATGCATATTCTAAAAGAAAACCTTCTGAAATATGATGTGACTCTCAAATTAGAACATAGCCCTTTAAATAGTAGCATATTAAAATATAATATTCCTTTATATCACTAAACAGTATGTTTGGAGTTTCTGTGATAGTACAATTTTTCTCTTCCTCAGAGTTTTATTAATCAAAAAAGAAAAGAAATAGAAGATGAAGCTGTGTCTGAACCACTTATGCAAAAACATGAACAAAAGATTAGACACTTTGGTGAGTCTGCTTTTCCAACATTTTGCAGTCCCTACAGTATTTATGTTGGTTTGCTCCTTTTTGTATAGAATGAATGCTAACAAATGAAAGACCCGGATAAAGACTGTTCAGCTCTATTTTATCAAGACAGATAATAATTTAAAAGAGAAACAGGGTGTTAATTGAAGAAACTCGTTAATTCCTGTGACCAACAAGAACTCCAATTGAAAAAATAATTAAAAATTAATACTCAACTGAGCTTAAGCTGTCCTGGTTTCAGTTGGAACAGAATTAAACTCTTTTCAGTAGCTGATACAGTGCTGTGTGTTTTGGATTCATTATGAGAATAATGCTGATAGCATAACGATGATTTGGTTGTTGCTCAGTAGCTCTTACTGTAAATCAAGGAGTTTTCACTGTCTCATGCACTGACATCAGGTGCACATTAGGTACATGAGAAACTGGGAGGGAGCATGGCTGGGACACCTGACCTGTACTGGCTAAAGGAATGTTCCACACCACAGAACACCATGCCCAGGATATAAATGAGGGAGTTGACTGGGAGGATCCGATCATTGCTCAGGAATGAGATGGGCATCAGTCAGGGGGTGGTGAGAAGCTATATTGAGTGTCGAGTGTTCCTTTTGAGTTTTTTCGTTCCCTCTCCCTCTCCCCCCACGCCCTTTTCCTCCCCCCACCCCTCTTCTCTGTCCCTCTCCTCTGCTCTCCCCCTCACCCTCCTGCTGTCTTCCCTCTTTTTCATTACAATTATTATTAATACCAGATGAAACCAGGACAAGCCATGAAAACTACAATTCTAGCAACTTTCTCTGCTGTTCAGTGGGAAAAGGCAGGGACATTCATGGAAATACAAGTCGTGTGTAAAAGTGCATGGGATTGTCCATAGCTCTCTCCTTTTAATAAATGTTTTTCTGGCATCTGTTAAGCTACAAGGGTAATGACTGATTAATGGACATGTTTGTAAACACCTACTGAAAGTATGTGTGCACAGGATTGTGCGTTTAAAACTATACTCAATTATCCACTAGGTGTCACTTTAGCTCTGTCATAATTATTGAACGCAATTAAGCACAAAGCTGATCTTTCAGTAATCTGTAATTTTGATGGTTCTCTAAAGTGCTTTCCATTCTTAGTTACAGGCTGGTTTCAGACTATAGTATAGTGTAGCTATATTTGGAATTCCAGAACAATCAAGAACAGGATGGAGTTGGCAAAATTGAATTCTTTCAACAAACTTGTTTTTACTAAGCTATTTGGCTTCTAAGGCTCTTAAAGCTGTTTTTAAGAAAAGGCTTCTAGCCCTGTTAGCCTTAGCAAGCCTTGCAAGTACCAGGTTGAGGCACAGCAATGCAAACAGCAGTAATAGGTGAAGGTTCTCTCAAGGACCTTAACTGCTCAGTGTAATGATAGTGGAATCAGAAGACATCTGCCCTGCCATGCACTTCAACAAGAAAAAAAAGAGGCTTCCTTGCAGGCTTCCTAGCTGAGAGTTGTGTAAAAGTACTCTTTATCTATCAGATTAAACTGTGACAGAAGCAACCTTATTAAAGAGGATGATACATTTTTCGTACCTCCTAAATTCAAAGCCATGTTGTTATTTTAATTTGAAATACATAAGTCCATTGTAAAAGCAACAGTACGTTAACACTTTTTGAAGTCTCTTGTTCCATGCTAAGTGGTGCCAAGGGGCAGTCTGGACTTCACTAGTGCATGAGTCCTGTTTCTGAATCCTGCTCTGGCTTCCAAGCAATAAAGAACTTACACAGAATAACTTGAAAACAGGAAGAAATATTAGCTGTTGCTTTCTGTTTAGGGAT